CACAGCCCTATAAGAAACGCGTTCTTCCTCACCGCGCGAGGGTTGACAGTGGTTTCCACCCGCAGGTTCCTGGTGCATCGATACTCAGTGCTCCAGCAGCATGCAGAGGCTAATGGTGTGGATGGTGTAGATGCCTTGGACACGGCCTCCCACACTCACAAAAGCGGTTATCATGATGACTCAGATGAGGTGAGACTGTTTCTTCTTGAGGGGTGGTCCAGAAGTTTTTAAAAAGAGCGATTCTTTTCTTAAGACCAAGGTATGTTTGAAGCAACGGAGGGTATAAGCTAGAAGCAGCAACTTAATGACTGTAAGACTTGGCCAACCCAGAAGCTACGTAATGGCTTTCAAAATAAGAATTAGGGATTTTTTTTTTGGGTCTGTAAATAATATGGCCCATGTCTTATTTTTTTTCAGGATCTTCTGGAATAGCTCCTCAAAAGAGCTGGGACCGAGTATGGATGATGGATCCGCAGTACCTCCTACACTCCCTGTGGCTCCGACTTAGGGAAATAAATTTCCCGTTGCGAAGGACCCAGCTCTGTTTCTGCTGCTTCCATCAAAGCCAAAAGGACCTACACTAAAGAAATAGGGGGGTGGGGACCCAAAACACTCTTGACAATTGGCTTGGAGAAGAGAGGGGAAATTTTTAATTCTTTAACTTTACGAGTTCTGTGTTTTTGCAAGGTATGGGCCCTTTTTGGTTTTGGTTTTTAAGGGAAATGAAATGGAATTGAAGGGAACTTTTCACTAACCCCACAGTCGCATGTTTTTCGTGGCACCCACCCCAGAGCACCGGCCAGCTTCGTCATCAGCTCTCATGAAGCCCTTGGTGCTGTCCCCGGGCTGTGCCGTCCCTGGACAGTGCCAGCCCCACGAAGCAGCTGCGGAGACGAGCAACGAGACTGCGATGACTGGCACAGCCTGGGCAGCCTCTCTCCCTCTGGGGCCAGCCCCGCTCCAAGAATAGTGCACCAGCTCCTCACACAGATCACTGCTTTTTGTTTTTCTTTCTTTCAGGAGCCATAGGCCACAGTGATTTTTCTTTTCCCCTGTTTAATTAGGCAATACCCTTGTTAATTGCCCTTTGGCAACTAACTCACATGTGCTTCCAAGACACTACATCAGGAAAACTTAAAGGGCAATATTTTTAACTTGGGGCAGGAAGAAGGGAACAGCAGAGAATTGACTAGATTTAGCACCTATTAAAGGAGAAATTCTTGCTTCCGAGATCTTTCAAGCCAGGCCTTATATGTGTGCCAGTGGACTTGCTCAAGGATGGGGCTCAAGCTGGGTACCCAGGCTGAGTAACCTCGTCACTGGCGCGGCTGGTGGCGTGTGCAGCGCAGCCTCTGAGGACAGCGCATCCATGAGTCGTTAGAATGGCTGCTTATTCGCTTCCTCTTAGGTTGCTGCTCTGCATGGAGCCATGACTAGATATGTTTTCAGATTTAGGCTTTAAAAAAAAAAATCAGTTTTGTTACCAAGTTCTCCTCCTTACCCCTCCACTTCCCCAGCTTTGCCAAGTAATTTGTTGGCTTGAAACTTTTAGCCACACCAACTGAAAAACACATTTCTAGTGCAGATTGATGTTTTGTGTGATACATTAAGTTCACATTTTAAATTTTAAAAAATGTTCCCTTTGACATTTTTAAAAAAGAAATAAATTAGAAAATGTAGCAAGGTGGATTTTTGGGTGGCCAGACAGTGATGGAAAGCTATAGTCAGTTTTCGTACAGCTTGACTGTTTGCTATACTCGAACATAGTAGTACGTTTTCAGTCTTAGCACACCTACTGTGCTGGTCACAGTTTCTCCCAATAATTACGATTGGGACATTCTTTGGTAACTGCCATTTTGCTGCTAGTTCATTTTATGGCTAGAAAGTCAGGAAAAAGTAAATGTGCCAAATGAACTTTTGTCAGAATGTATGAGCAGATGGCTGAATTGTCTTCTCACCAGAATGGATTAACAGCAGTAGTGGAAAGCAGGGGAGGGAGTGGATGGAGAATTTTAGAGAGACTTTGAAATTGCAGTGAGATTAATGTAAGTCAGGGAACTATAAAGTTAAGACAGTTTTTGTGAAGAGAGTTCATATTTGTTAGAGCCAGAGAGCACTAGTTTTTTAGGAAAATCTCATTCCTTTTGTAAGGTTTTTAAATTGAAAGTACTTCCAAAGATACACCAGCTTACAAATGATTTTAAAAGTCTCAGCTTTTATCCCGTTCACCCTCACCTCCTGCCCCATGTGAATTTGATGCCCAGAGAAGACCTACTTAGATCACACACTCTTCTCCCCATATATACCCACCGAAGTAGATGTGCCAACATACGGTGGTTCTCTGATTAGTTTTACATGTAAGAGGGCTAATACTCTTCTCTAACCATGTAAGACTAGGGCTCTTTACCTACAGCGATATCTGGGGTTTCTATAGAACTTGGTAGTTTTCATGGCACTTTTTCACTTGCATTATGTCATCTGAACCTCACAGCATTCTTATGAGATTAAAAAAAAAAAACAACGCAGGGTTTGTAATCCCCATTAGAGATGGAGCTGAGGTACAAAAATGGAGTAAAGGTGTCAGGGTCCCTGTGAGTCCCGAGTGGTGACGGTGATTGTCTTCGGATCTCATGCACTTTGATGGATGCTCTTGCCGCCACGTGGGAGCAGGCTGCTTTCTTACAAACGTCTTGCAGTTCTTCAGGGCATGGGTCAGTGGCCTTTCAGAGTAGCATGTAGAGCTCTTTTGCCACCTTAGTAAACAGGAAATTTTTCATGGCTTCTCCTGTTCTTCATGGCTGAAAGCAAAAGTAATGGTAATTTTGAGTATGTGTTTAGAAACCGCCCCTTATGTCATTGAGGGTCACGGTGGTTCAAGAGTGTGGGAATGGAATCTCCACTGATGATTCACCCTCTCCATTTCCCTTGTCCTCCCACCCATAACTGGCTGGAGAACTTAGTTGGTTTGAGGACTGCTAGCAAGCCTGGCTGGCTAGCCTTCCGCATCTCACAAGGGATATGCTTGGGCTTATGTCCTCGGCCCAAGACAAAAACAGCTTAATAGATCCACGATAGCTCCTAAGAAAGAAAAATTTCTGATTTGTCCTACTGATGTCAGGTTGGAGCATTATTTCTGAAAATAAAGTTGTGTAGTCTCAGGCTTAATAGCAAAAGGGATTGTTTCAGTAATAGAAGTTAGCATCGTAAGGTAGGTTGGACATAGCAGACTGTCCAGAGTGATCTGAGCTCTGAAATCCAGGTGGCGAACTCACCATCTTTCATGCTCTGTGGACAGGTGTCTTGGACTTAAGAGGGCTTTTGGTTTTCATTGAGACCTGAGACCAGGGATGCATAGGCCTAAGCTGTCCATGGAATGGGAGCACCACTTAGAAGAGTGAAAGTGTTTGGAGGACTGTGGCAGTTCTAGGCTGGGCTCAGGAGATTCAATAGATGAGCTGTAACTAAAGCTTTAGAATTTGTCATCTGCCTCTGAATAGGCTTTCCAGTGTTTCTGTCTCATTCTTAGGTTTACTTCTGGGCCCCTGCATGCCGAAGCTGGCCTTTCATCCCTGGCAGATCAGTAATGTGCTGGCCAGTGGTGTGCTGGCCACCACTGGCTCTGTCAACAGCTGGTTCTCCCGTGGCCTTCACCATGGGACAAGGATAGAGAAGTGCAGGGCCGTCCACATCCACCCCACGTGGCAGGACTGGCCTGGCTTCAGTCTTTGTTTTCTAAGCAAAACAAAGCAAAACTCTCTACTGATTCCAGTAGAGAGTTTCGTGTTTCCTCTTAGGAGAGTTTTAAAGAGCCCTGTTTCTGTATGCAGTGGCTTGGAGCTCACCCTGCTCACTGTTGGTACCGCCCCCTTGTCCCACATTAACCTGGGTACTTGGAACTGCTAAAATAGGAAGAGCTTCAGCTTTTCAACTTTGCTACTACCTTCCCTCAAGCAGGTAAATAAACATGGACTTACATGTCCTTCAAACAAAAACCAAAGTTTAAAATTTCCACATGATAGTGATAGGGAGGCCAGACTGTTCCATCTGCCACCAGTTTGCCCAGCTCAGGTTGCGCCAGGGACACTGTCCTGCCCCAGGAGGGCCGAGGCCTCGCCCTCATGGAGGATGATTGAAATAGCAGGAATATGTTGATTTCTTGGCTACTTTGCATTATAACAATAAGAATCAGAACTCTAATTAGAAATTGTCTTCAAAAGCTTACTGTAAGCATTTTTTTTCACACCGGTACATTCTTAAGCATCCTTGTTTATATAGAATAACATAAACTAATCTGTACCTTTCTATATATATATGTGTGTGTGTGTACATATATACATGTATAAACTGTATAGTGTACATGTTAATGATATGCCCAAATCCTTAATGCAGTTCTCATCCTCCGCATGCCCTCAGTTTGTAGTCACCTGACTTGAATGTTCCTGATGATTCTGCCCACCTCCTGTGTTTGGACGTCCAGGGAGGAGGGTAGGGTTTTGATGGTACCCTCCTTATCCTCGTGCACAGATATGCTCAGGGTCCCCATGTGTGCCTGGTATCCATCCCTCTTTTGTTTCCTGTTCCCTGTCTGAGCATGTGGTCCCTCCTGGTTCTGTAACTTCTCTGCCTCCTCCCCAAGCTGTCAGATAGCCTTTCTACTCAAGTCTAAAGCAGTATTAAGATCATTACTGCATGTGCGCTAAAAACCCAAGTTTTCTGTTCCCTGGGGACAGAAAATTGCATGTGAGGTGGGATAATCAAGTTTCAATGACCTATGTCAGTTGCACAACAAAGCCAGACCCCAGAATAAAATTCCACAAAATGGAAATAAAACTCAAATTTCTTTAGCACTGTGTAAATAAATCTGGATGTGTTTAACTTTGTACTGGTAATTTTCTGTATATTTGCAATATTTGGGTTAGAAATAAAACAGACTGGACTTTATTACCTGACCTACTAAAATGACTGAGCTACAGTTTGTTAATATGAAAGTTTCTCCACTTTTCTAGCTTCAAAAATCGAACCCCAGCAATCAGAGAACATCAATTAATGAGCCAGGACGATGTGTCTGTAAGTCCTACATGAAGGGTATTAGGTAATTTATGGGAAAAACTACTCACTTTTTTCTTCTTCATGCTCTCAAAGATCTACCCCGCCATGGGTGTTTGTAGGACCAGATTTGTTCTTCTTCCTCCCCAGAAGTATGGCTGACCCACCCCGGTACAGCTTCTCACCTTTGAGTGCTACATTCTTCCTTCTGGATGCAGCCACATGTCATTACTCTCTTGAATTACGTGATCCTTTAGCAGGTTCAACAGACGACAGCACTGAGGAGTTCACCTTCAACGCTTGTGCACTTGCCTCTCTCACATTTCTACTGCTGCTCTTACTCATAGTCGTTCCTAACCAATTTCATTAAGGACCTTCAAAGAGTTGCAACTTGACTCCAAAATATTTCTTTTAGTGGAGGTTACTGCCCACCCCTGTTTAGCCTTTAGCCAAGCCAGACGACTGCTTAGCCTGCTGTCCTGGGCTGGGGGGTCTTTCCATATAATGTTTACTCTGGGGCCATGGTGTGAAGATGACCAGGTAGAGACCTTGCTCCTGAGGACTGTATGTCTGCTGCAAGAGTCCTCCCCCCAGGGAGGTTATCCAGGGTGATTTATTTTCAAGAATTCTATCTAACATAGTGTTCTCAGATTTCCTGCGACAGAATCAGTAACTTGCTTTTTAAATGCATATCCCCCCCAAAATAAATAAATAAATGCATATCCCATCAAGACCTACTAAATTAGCCTTTCCAGTGGATAAGACCCTAGGAGTTGGCCTTTTCTATTTGATTCTTTCATACCTTCAATTGCAACAAGGAGCTAGGACCAAAAGCCTGAGCCAATCTCTTCACCAAAGCATGGGGATAAGAGGGGTGTTTGGAGTACCCTGGTATACTGTCCGGACCTGTAAGGGCTCTGGCTGGTTCAGATAAGAGAAATAAGTCAGAAAGGCCTTTACACATGAGAGTCCTGACATAACACAGCACAGCCTCTCACCACCAACCCCAGAGGTCAAGCTCTATAGTCACCCTCTTCAGCCATCCTGGCTCTTGATAAAACAGTTTCCTGGATTGCAAGTGGGTCTACAAGTTGTCCTGGCCCTCAGTCCCAATACAAGTTGCAAAGATGAGTTCTGGGCTTCTGTCCCACAACCCAAGGTAGTAACACAGACTCCCAGGATCCTATTGGCTGCCCCCAATTTGAGGGCCAAAGGGGAAAAATGAGTAAGGAGTTCATTCATTGAACCATACTCATTGGTTTCCTTTAAAAAGGGGGAAGCAGGGATGTGGAAACTTGCTGCTTTCTACTCAGCTTTGCTATGAACCTAAAACTGCTCTTCTAAAGACTATTTATATTTATATATATATATATATTCACATAAAATATATATATTCACAGAGGAGATGCCAGCTTCTGGAAATGAGAAAGGGAGAGTACGATAGGAAATCTGATCTATTGGCTGGACTGCATGGAAGGTGTAAGTGATGGTCTAGTGAGCCTAGAAATCACACAGGACCTTTAGTATGTAACTAACACCTACTGTGCTCTGGCCACTTTCATACACTTTTACCATTTTATCCTCAACACTATCTTGGCATCGTCATGCCTTATTTCATAGACCAGGGACCTAAGTTCCAGATTTTGGGACTTAGACCAGAGTCCATGATTTTCCCAGGGCTGCCTAGCAGAGGAATAAGTAGCAGAGCCAGGGTCACACTCAAGTCCTCTGACCCCATGCCCCTGACTCCCCTCTCACAACTGCTGTCTCTCACTTGTGGTTTTATCTCATAGGCAAGGGAGGTTTGGAAGGGTTAAGTGTTGGCCCAACCTAAAAATAGCTTGCATTTATCAAGCACTTTGTTGGCTACACACCGGCTAAGCACTTTATACAGATTACTTCTTTGAATGCTCACAAAAGCCCTAAGACTGTTATCTCCATTTCACAGATGAGGAAACAGACCTAAGAGACTTGTTACAAGGCACAGGCAATTGGTGATGGAGCCAAAGTGAGTTGGGGGTCTGGCTCCAGGGTGCAGACTCTACCTTCCATTTCCATGGGGCAGGTGGGTGGGGTGGAAAGGAGGGGATGGGGCCCTTTTCCTGTAGACCCAGACACCCTTGGATGAGCTGGAGATCAGGATCTGAGATGTCGCCCAGTCCTTCCCCCAGAAGCCAGAGTCCCCATGTGAATGGTCTGAGCAGGGAGGGGCTGTTTGAAGCTCAAGCGCTCCCCTCCCTCCCTGGTGCTGTGTGAGAGGTGTCCTCTCTCTCCCAAGATAACAGGGCCACTGGGCCCTCCTCCTGCAGCTATTCCGGGCTGTGATCTGCTCCCCCTCTTCCTCTAGCCCCCGCTTCATCCCTCATGGGAGTCGCTGGGTGGGAACAGGACAGCCCAGTTACATGACCCTGGGGAGGCCAGGCTGGAGAGCAGGTGCTCAGCCCCTCCCTCACCATCAACAGTGAAAATCTTCCCCTGGAGCCCAGCCTCTGGGTGGCCCAGCATGGAGGCAGCCACAGCTCCAGAGGCGGCCTTAGGACCCACACTGAAGGAGAAAGAAGCCAGCCCAGCAGATGCTGACGGACCTCAGGCTTCACCCCGGCGGGGGGCTGGCAGCCCCCTTCCCCAGCTCCTGCCCCCCATAGAAGGTGACTGGTGGGGAGGGGGTAGGCCGGGCAGTGGGTGTTGTCCATGGGTTTTGCAGAGCTAAATGCTTTCATGGGATGGGGACTTAGGATGGAGGAGCATCTACCAGAACCCCCACCCCCTCTTTGATGGACTCTTGCTGCTCAACTGCCTCTGCTGGGTTTTTGCTTTTTACCTGAGAAGTCAGTGAATGGTGTTTGTGATACGCTATAGTAACTAATACTGATAGGCTTATATTTTTACCTTCAGAATGTATCGGTCACAGGGCCTAGGAGGACCTGATATATTACTAACATCGGTCAGGGAGGGAATGAAGGGTGAGATGGGCTCCATCTGGACCAGGAGAAGAGGGAAATGAAAAACTTGGAGCCACTGGGAGGCTGAGCACTGGACAGATGTGACCCTCTGCCTCGCCCTCAGCAGGGCCAGGAGTCCGAGACCTATCCAAATACCCCCACCAGCTCCCACGGGAAACTCTAGCCTCTCCTAACCCGAGCACCACGGAAGCAGAGACCTTCGAGGAGAAGCATTCTAAGGCTCCTCCTCTGTGGTCTCAGCCTCTCAGCAAAGAGGTGTTTTTGACCTAAGAGATAGTGGGTGCCCTGGCCAGCCCTGGCATTCCCTGCCTGCAGCCCTGCTGCCCACCCCACACCTGGCCCTGGCCCCACAACTGGCCTCTGTAGCTAAGAGACTTCACTGGCGTGGCTCCCATTGCGCCTAGCTCAGCCAACCAAGGGAGACTGGTTTTTGCCCTCTCCTGCAAAGAAACACTGAAAAATGTTTTCTGTACAAAGTCCCCACTTCTCACCCCTTGAAGCCCTAAGTGCAGAGGATGCAGAGACCACAAATGAGACAGCATGGAATGCCAGAATAGGGAGAAGAAGAAAAGACAAGGTCTAGACTCAATTCCCAGGGCTGCCTCCAGCAGCTCCGTGACCTTGATCAAGTCAATGGACTTCAGGGCTTCAATTCCTCTCTATGAAATGGTGATTATTAGTATCTACCTGGTAAGGTAGTTGAAAGGATTGTTGAGATAATCCAAAGTGCTTTTGAAGAGGCCAAATGAAGATGTGAATAGATAATGTATTATTTCCAAATCAGGAGTAAAGGCTGAATTCTACCTGCAAACAGGGTTTGCAGGTCCTGGGAAAGTCCACGGCCTCTTATCATCCTATGGAAGACAGTGGGTCTTCAGAAGCTATTTGAATGTCAATGGCACGCAGCCAACTGAGTTTACCCCCATTGAAAAACAGATAAAGAGAGCAGAAGTTATTGGGAACATGTTAGGTTGGAATGGTCTTGAGGCAGAAAGCCAGTTTCTTCCCCCAAAAGACCCAGGGAATAAGCCACAGGGTGAGGGAGAATGAGAGCCAGGACTGCTGACGGCTTGACCACTGGTCTCTGCAAAGCCCTGAGAGAGGGTGCTCATCCCCTCATACTTACCCGTCCGGCCACAGGGTGGATGCTGTGGGCCGTCGGCTCCTGACATCCCCAGCCCATAAGTGAGGCCTGAAGGACCACATTCTTGTGTGTGGTCTCACCCACTGGCATCCCAGAGGCCCCTGACAGTAAAGCCTCCTGGTGACACTGTGCAAAGTGTTTGCATCTGTTACCCATTCGGAAAAAGAGTTCAAATGCTAGCTCTGTCCTATGACCCTAGGCAAGTCAATCCACCCCTTTGGGTTTCGATCTCTCACCTATAAATTGAGAGGTAGAATTAAACCAGAGTTCTTAACTCTTTGCTGGATATGGATCCCTAGGAAAACCTAAGGAAAACTGGGCTCTTGCTTCAAGAAAAATACTCAACAAAGCTCAGGGAGTTCACAGAATTACTGAAGTCTATCCAGAGGTCTTTAGGGAGTGCCATGGTGCTGGCCTAGATGGCCCCCAAGTTCCCTATGAGCGCCAAGGACTTCTCCTTCCTCTTAATGCCTCCTCTTTCTCACAGGGAGTTCTATGGGACCCAGAGAGGCACAGCGGTGAGCATGTGAGCACACGTGAAATAGAGCAGGCGTCAAAATATTTGCAACATCAAAATAAACTGCAACTGGCCAGCACTGAGCTTTTAGTCAAGAAGGTGCTCCCCATAGCTAAGTAAGTAAGTGGAAGTGGGTGGCTGGCACTGGGAAAGCATCCTTTGTCACTCTCAGCACACACGGAGGCACTGTGTCCTGAAGGCCAGAGGACAGCGTTCATGATAGTGAGAGGCCCACTTCTCTGGTGGCTCAGTGGTAAAGAATCTGCCTGCCTGCCAATGCAGGAGACACGGCCTGATCCCTGGTCCAGGAAGATCCCACATGCTGTGGAGCAACTAAGCCCGTGTACCACAACTATTGAATCTGTGCTCCAAAACCCTGGGGGGCTACAACTACTGAGCTCATGAGCCATATGTACTGAAGCCCGCGCGCCCTAGAGCCCATGCTCAGCAACAAGAGAAGTCACCGAAATGGGAAGGCCAAGCACCGTCAACTAGAGAGTAGCCTCTGCTCTCTGCAACTAGAGAAAAGTCGCTGCAACAACAAAGACCCAGCACAGCCAAAAGTAAATAAATAAGTAAAAATTTAAAATAATAATAATAAGAGGCCATGGGACCGGCTGTATCCTGACACGGAGAAGACGGGACCCTGAGTCCCAGAGGGAGGGCCCATCTCAGCTCGATTGCTTCCTGCTGACCCTGTGCCCTCTTTCAATCTGGACCGTTCTGTGTCTTCATGCTTGGGAAGCTGCGTGCCTAGCCTTGAAGAAACCATCCTCCCTCCCACTCTCCCTTCCTATCCTCTTTCTTCCTTCTACAAATATTTATTTTGTATCTATTATGTGCCAGGCACTGTTACAAAAATGCACTAAATAGGCAAAAATAATTTCCTTGTAGAGATTACATTCTATGTAAGGAGACAGATAATAAATAAATAAGCAAATAAAATGTATAAATAGTGATAAACTGCTGTGCTGAAAAATAAGACAAAGAAAGAAGATAGAAAATGCTGGTATGGCAAGAGTGCTTGCTGTTGTTGTTGTTGTTTTTTAATAGGTTTGTATTTTTTTTTTCATTTTTTTAAAGATCTATTTATTTATTTTTTGGCTGTAGTGGGTCTTAATTGCTGTACTGGGGCTTTCTCTAGTTACAGGGAGCAGCAGCTACTCTTCATTGCAGAGCTCAGGCTTCTCATTACAGTGGCTTCTGTTGTTGCCGAGCACGGGCTCTAGGGCACACTGGCCTCAGTAGTTGCAGCTTGAGGGCTCTAGAGTACTGGCTCAGTAGTTGTGGCCCACAGGCTTAGTCGCTTCGGGGCATGTGGGATCTTTCTGGGCCTGGGATCGAACTCATGTGCCCCGCATTGTCAGGCAGATTCTTATACACTGCGCCACCAGGAAAGTTTGCTTGCAGTTTTTAAACAGGTTATTCAGTGAAAGCCTTGTTAATAAGGTGATTTGAGCAGCAACTTAAAGGAGTCAAGAGAGCAATGCTTGCAGATAATTGCATGAAGATAATTGAGAAGGTTTTCCAAGGAGAGAGAACAGTAAGTGCAAATGCCCTGAGGCAGGGCTGTGCCTTCTGGACTGGGGCTGCAGTGGCAGAAGCAGAGTGAGGGAGAGAATGTCAGGTTTGGAGTCACAAGGTAGCAGGACCATTGTGAACACCAGTTCAACTATGAGACAGAGCGGCAGCCAGTGTAGGGTTTTAGGTGTAGGTTTTAAAACTTCTCTGGCTGCTGAACTAAGAATAGGCTGTGGTGTTGTTGTTCAGTCGCTGAGTCATGTCCAGTCCTTTATGACCCCATGGACTTCAGTATACCAGGCTCCCCTGTCCTTCACTATCTCCCAGATAGGCTACAGGCAAGCCTTAGACACTAGCAAAATCATCAATTAGAACGAGGATTTGGGAGAAGGTATGGAAGTTTTCGAAGAGGAGGATGTGCAACAGTCACCCAGGAGAATAGGAGATTGAAGGAATTAGGGAAGTCTGGCAGAAATGCCAGTGTCTATTTCGAGGTAGGGGCCATCCATTTAAATTGCTTTTTTTTTTTGGCTGCGACGGGTCTTCGTTGCTACACATGGGCTTTCTCTAGTTGTGCTCTGAGGGCTTCATTGTGGTGGCTTCTCTTGTTGCGGAGCTTGGCTCTAGGCATGCGGGCTTCAGTAGTTGTGGCAGGTGGGCTCAATAGTTGCAGCTTGCAGCCTTAATGGCCCTGAAGTATGTGGAATCTTTCCAGATCACGGATTGAGCCACTGTCCCCTGCTTTGGTGGGCAGATTCTTAACCACTGGGCTACCAGGGAAGTCCTGGCCATCAATTTAAAGTCAGCACAGTTTTGTAATATTTTCCCCAGCCACGTTGGACTATACGGATGCAGGCACCGAGGGGGTGGTAGTTAACTGGGGCTGGGTGTTATTAGGACGTGGAAAGGATTAGGGATTTGAGTGGGTTTGCAAGGAGCGAATCTGATGACAACTGTGGAGGCTAAGCTGGATGAGAAAGAAAATAACACTGAGGGGGTGATGGAGAGTGCAGGGGTAGGAGGATAATGGGTCAGGGGTCTCAGTGGGCTGAAGGGTCGCGGCTGGTGAAGCACTAAAGGGAGAGAGTTGAAGGGATAGAAGGTGGTGCTGAGAGAGTGGGCTGCTTGAAATTCAGATTCTAGAGTGGCTAGACTCTATTCTACTGGCCTAGACAATGACTAAAGGAACCAAGGGCTGAAGCAGGGGAGGATGAAATCTTTGGAGGAGTGGCTGGCGAGGCTGTGAGGCAGCCCTGCAGGAACTGGAAGCCTGGGTGTTGAGATGACCAAGAATCTTGACTTTAGCTGTGTTGGAGAAGGTGACACTGAGTCAGTGTTACCGTCATCAGCATGAGGAGGAGAGGGTGACAGAGTCTCCTCCTCAGAGAAGTGTAAGATGCATGTGATATCCTGTGGCTTAACTAATGTTTCTCTAAAAAAATGCTGATACTTTTGGGGATCCATGGAAATCTTTGGGGTTACTGGAAGCCGTAGCTTGCCTAGTGGATTTGGTCTTTCAGTAACCATTTACTCACACAGGCCTGTGCACACACATGCCCTCACAGTCCTGCACTCACACACACTCACGGACGTGTACACTTCACTCTTTCAATGTGTCCATCTTGTTCCTTCACCTCCAGACCGTAATTAACACCATCATTCTGAACTACACAGTCCTTAGGGAATCACTGCAGGAAAGTCTTTAGCCATGTGAAACCAAATTAAGTGAGGACGTTGACAGTTAATTCCCATGGACAGAGAAGTAAACCTCAGCAGGATGAAATTAGGTAGAATTAGGAGGGATTCTCTTTCTTTTTCTTTTTCTTTTCTTTTTTGTTTTTTTGGCTGAACTGCATGGCATGTGGGACCCTAGTTCCCTGACCAGGGATCAAACTCATGCCCACTGCATTAGAAGCATTAGAAGTCCTAACCACTAGATCATCAGGGAAGTCAGAAGGGATTTTCTATTCAAGAGGGGTCAAGATCTCTGGACTTTAAGTAGATTTGGGTTTTTTTAAAGTAAATTTGGGTTTTTTTCTAAACGATTAATTAATTTGGCTGCATCAGGTCTTAGCTGTGGCACGAGGGATCTTTCGTTGCAGCACACAGACCCTCTAGTTGCGGCTCTTGGGCTCTGTTGCTCTGTGGCACGTGTGATCTTCCCCAACCAGGGATCAAACCCACGGCCCCTGCATTGCAAGGCGGATTCTTAACCACTGGACGACCAGGGAAGTCCCCTTTCTCCACTAGTTTGTAAGACAGTATTCTGTCTGAGAAAAATTCAGTGCTGAGAGCAACACGGCTCAGAAGCCAAGGACTCTCATAGCACTTTTCGAAATACCTTTTTCCTAAGACTCTGTGAAGGGAGAAAACCAAACTGCCGCTGTCCCAGAACTGGTCTCAGGAAACCAGGACTGTGCTTCAGGGCCGTAGTCTTTGGTGCACATCCCTCCTGGCATCTGAGGAGGAGAAAGACCTTGGGTGGCAGGAAAAGCCAGGTTTCTCCAAGGTCAGTACAATTAACACCTCGCCTGACTGTGGATGTGTGAAAAGAGAGGCCCCAGATGAGCCCTGCTATTAACATGCTCAGCAAGGGTCAGATTGCTCTCTTCTGCTGGGCAGACCAAACCCTGGGGTGCGCTGGGGAAGGGCTTGCAGCAGCCCAGACACCTGTGCTGTCACACACTCCTCCGCCACCTCTGCACTGTGTCAGCAGCTTCAGCCTCAAGTCCATCCTCCGGCCTCCCTCCCTCTGGAGCTGGGAGACTGCTGAGAGCAGAATCTTCGCCTGCTTGTCCTCAGACCTGGAACATTCTTGTCACTTAAGTTTGTCCCCTCTTGATCCATCCTCTTGTCAGGGAATCCCACTTCTTTCTTTCTTTCTTTTTTTCATGTGGACCATTTTAAAAGTCTTTATTGAATTGACTGCAATATTGCTGCTGGGTTGGGTTTTTTTTTTTTTTAATGTTTTGGGTTTTGGGCCCCAAGCCATGTGAGATCTTAGCTCCCTGATCAGGGATCAAACCTACACCCTCTGCTTTGGAAGGTGAAGTCTTAACCACGGGACCACCAGGAAAGTCCCCAGGTCCCTCCTAACTCAGAGATGCTATAAGCAGTGCAAGGGACATCAGAGCTGGCTTCTCCCCAACCCTCTGCCCAGCAAGCGTGAGGGGTTCGCTCCCCACCCAGCAGTGGGGAAGCAGGGCCAACAAGATGAGGTTTTGAGCCTCCTTTTCAACTGCCACCCTCTTTTTTCAGAAAACCCTAAAGTCATATCCGCCCGTTCTCAACTCCTTGGTCGCTTGCCAAGATGGCCACAGGGGAGGAACACATCACACAACACTTCTTCTGTTCTTCGTGCCCCTCCTCCACCCAAACTGCCAAAGTCGAACAGAGGGCAGCCGAGCGGAGCGGGGTCGTTCAGCTGCCCGGGCTCTGAGCTGCCCAGTCCTTGCTGAGGCTTCAGGCCCTGAGCCACGTGGGCGGGACAGCGCTCGGAACACGGCCCCCACCCCCAGCCTCGCAGTACCACCCCGTTCCTGTTCAGTTGGTGTAGAGGGGTGAGGCGCAGCCTAAGACAGCACAACCCAGGTTGAAATGTAAACCGCCCTGTGAAAATGGAAACTAGGCAAATAAAATGGACAGCGTGCACTGAACATTTCTGTCTATATTCATCTACCAAGCCCAAGTTACCTCGTGATGGTGATGGGGGTGGAGTGTGGGAGTGAAGTTCCTGGTCTCTAAGCAAGACCTACAAACTGAGGGGTAGGAAGAGCTTTGTAGAACCTTTTTTTATTTTCAACTCCACCATTCCAATCCTGCATTATGTAATGTACATTTTAAACAGTTCTATTTGTAAGTAAACATTCATGTATTGGGGTGAATGTTAAGGCATGTATTTACAGGGACATGTATGTTATAAAGGTTGGAATCTGCTATCAAGCTGCTATCTGCTAGAGAAAGGAGGAGACAGGGGAGCTCCAGAAGGCTAGAAAACAGAGTAGATTCCAGCCAGGACCCCAAGGGAATCCAGCTTGACCCCAAGGGAACCCATCCTCCAACCTTACTCCTGAGCATCTCCTGTCTTCATCCTGGAAGCCAATAAACATAATCTAATCTCTCTTTCACTGGAACAGCCTGGAAGATCAAGGGGGTGGGGTGAGCAATGGACCTAATCTTTCCCAGATTCTGATTGTACAAAGTGATCTTGCACAGACTGGAAGACACTACCCAGGCCCCTGAACAGGGTGGCCTCGCGGAGGAAGGGACCCAGGAGCCAGTTCCCCCTGCAGTGACGCCATTGCTGTCCTGGTGGGTTCAGAGTGTTGACTACCTGCGGAAAGTAAAGCTTCCTCCTCCATGTCTGGCCCCAGACTGGGAAGTGGGGCTGACACTTTGGGGCCAGGATTGACACTGAAAGTGGCCTTGATAAAGGAAGTGTTGAAGACAAATGTAGAAAAGGAGTGGAAAGACAAACCACTCAGGCTAGACTGGTCCATGCACAAACAGAATATCTCAGTTGATGAAAAGTTGGTGGTAGAGAGCTACAGATTAAAAGAGGTAGGAGTCAGGCTCACCCTTTGGTGCTCTTTCTGCCTATACTTTTAACGCTCTCTCTCTCAGATCCTTCAGCTGGTTGCTTATCCCTAAATCTCAGTGAGACAACAGGTGCCATCTTCTCATTCCCTGAGGGAGGGCTGAGTTAGCTGTGTTGCCTGGGTCACCCGCATATGGAACACAACTCCATGCAGCATGCACACCCTCTAAACTCTCCTCTACCCCCTACAGGAAGCTCACCCCCCCTTCTCTCTCTTTCCATCTCTCAGAGCACCCCAAGATCTGGCTACCTCGGGCCCTGAGGCAGACCTACATCAGGAAGGTTGGAGACACTGTGAACCTTCTAATCCCATTCCAGGTGATCATAGCAGGCCCACGTTGAGTCCATGACCAGAGCCAGGCCAGGGTTTTGATTTGGAAACAAAAACCAAGAGTTCTGCTACTGGTGGGGCAGCCATCCTAGCCTTGAATGGAGGGTGCGTGTCCCCCAAAGTTTGAGGTGGCCCTTCCATGAGCAATCCTGAGGGGGGTTGGGAATCAGGTCAGATCAGGCCAGGCATGCCTAGGGGATGCTGCGAGGCTAATCCACACCCTTCAATCAGCAGAGATCTGACAGCTCTCAGCTTGTGAGGCTCTCAGAAGTCTGGCGGGCATCCCAGGTAGTTCATTGGTAAGAATCCACCAGCCAATGCAGGAGATGCAGGAGCCATGGGTTCGATCTCTGCATCAGGAAGACCCCCTGGAAGAGAAAATGGCAACCCACTCCAGTATTCTTGCCTGAAAAATCTCATGGACAGAGGAGTCTGGCAAGCTGCAGTTTGTGGGATCACAAAGAGTCAGACATGACTGAGTGAGCGCACATGCACGGACAAGAGTCTGGGCAGCTATTGTTAGTCCCAGCTGCCCTGAGTGTCCATGACCTAGACTCTCAGAGGGTGGGCAATGCAAAGCCCTTTCCCAGGATCCTGAGACTGTTGCCGGGAGATGCAGGTCCCCTGGGGCAGTTCACCAAACTCTCAGCCAAAGAATTTGCAGCTGTGAGTCAAGTCACCATGTGGACCTGGTGGATCTGACCCTTACTGCAGCTGGGAGGGGCAAGAGGCCTCTGGGGGCCACTCACAGTCATCTCCCTATTTCTCAGGGCAAACCCAAACCTCAAGCCATCTGGACGCGTGATGGCTGTGCCTTGGACACCAGTCGTGTGAGTGTGCGGAATGGGGAGCGGGACTCTATCCTCTTCATCAGAGAGGCGCAGCGTGCGGACTCGGGTCGCTACCAGCTCAGCGTGCGGCTGGGTGGGCTGGAGGCCACCGCCACCATTGACATCCTGGTGATTGGTACCGTGGGGGGAGTGGGAGACTGGGTGGGCCTCGGGGCTCCCACTCCAGCCTGAATGGGGATCTGCACAGACAGCTTGGGAAGCAGGACTGGGGGGTTCAGTGGAAGGTGGAGGGAGGGCTGGCATAGCAGACGCCCCTCCTGGAGTGATGTCACAGCAGGAGAGGCATGTCCTGTCCACAGTCTTGCTTGGCCCTTTCAGAGAGGCCTGGCCCTCCTCAGAGCATCAAGTTGGTGGATGTCTGGGGCTCCAGCGCTACCCTGGAGTGGACTCCTCCCCAAGACATGGGCAATGCAGCCCTCCTGGGATACACGGTGCAGAAGGCTGACACCAAGTCTGGGGTGAGGCCTGGCTGGGAGAGAGGGAGGGAGGAACACGGACATTCTGAAATGGGGCTCTGGCAACTCCATGCGGTTGGCTGGGGATCAGTGAATGCCCTAAGCAGGGGTCTCACTCCCGGTGTCTTGTGGGGACACTCACAGCTGTGGTTCAGTGTGCTGGAGCGCTATCACCGCACCACCTGCACGGTCTCCAACCTCATCGTCGGCAACTCCTACGCATTTCGAGTCTTTGCTGAGAACCAGTGTGGGCTCAGCGAGAACGCCCCCGTCACTGCCGACCTGGCCCACATCCAGAAAGCAGGTAAGGCACCACCAGGACTCAACGCTGCGAAGAGTTAAGGAGAAAGAGTTGGAGAGGGATGGGGTCCTCAGGCATTTCTTGGTCCCCTCAGCTACTGTTTACAAGACCGAGGGCTTTGCCCAGCGAGATTTCTCTGAAGCCCCGAAGTTCACCCAGCCCCTGGCGGACTGCACGACGGTCATTGGCTACGACACCCAGCTCTTCTGCTGCGTCCGTGCCTCCCCCAAGGTGAGCAGGGAGGTCTGTGCGTGGCTGGGCTGTGTTACTTTCTGCCTGCTGAGGAACATTCTAACCAAAACATTTATTCCTGTCATCTTCACAGCACATTAGGTAGGAACACTCAGGGCACTGGGGTTCAAGACAGGCCGATGGGGATAATGTTTCCAGTTTGCCTTTTAGTGTTTGTTCCTCATACACGAAGTTGTCACTTAATACTGCTGCTGCTGCTGCTAAGTCACTTCAGTCGTGTCCGACTCTGTGCGACCCCATGGACTGCAGCTTACCAGGCTCCTCCGTCCCTGGGATTTTCCAGGCAAGAGTACTGGAGTGGGGTGCCATTGCCTTCTCCGGTCACTTAATGACCTGCTAGCATCCGGGCATGAGGTTCCAAGCTGTCCCTCTGGCAGGGGCGATGGAGCTGTGTTGGTTTCTTCCTACTCTCCCCCCTCATCTTTATCTTCCAGCCGAAGATCATCTGGCTGAAGAACAAGATGGATATCCAGGGCAACCCCAAGTACAGAGCCCTTACTCACCTGGGAATCTGCTCCCTGGAAATCCGCAAGCCTGGCCCCTTTGATGGAGGCATCTACACCTGCAAGGCGGTTAACCCCCTGGGGGAGGCGTCCGTGGACTGTCGGGTGGATGTGAAAGGTAAGGGCAGACCTGTAACCTTAGGGTGCAAGCACCTCCTCTCTCCTTAGGTGGAAAATCTGAGGGCAGAGACACAAGCCTAGAAGGAGAAGGGCTTGGGGGGCTTCCCCTTCAGGCCATCTCATTACTGTCATCATCATGTTGTATCTGAGGAGCCGTCTTTATTATCCACTCTTTCATTTTTCTCCATCATAATTCTGTAATTTAGGAAGAATCACTATTTCCGCTTTGCAAAGGAGAGACCTGAAGCACAGGGAGGTGACTGATCAGCTTACCCTGGATTTCCAGTGTTGGTTAGTTGAGGAGTTGGCTCTGTGGTGGAAAGAGGCCAAGTCTCCTGGACCTCACCCAGATTGTTTTCATTAAACTGTATGATCTCCTGACTCAATCCCAGAGAGCTGCAGCTCTTTGTTGGGCATTTAGACAAACCAAAGGACTTTCATCTCCAGTTGTTAAACAAAAATGCTGCACAGTCTCTCTCTACCTCTTTTCAAGCATTCACTTATTTATCCATTCTGGTAACCTTGCTCAGATCATCATTACATTCATTTTTAATTTATTTTTATTTATCTGGTTGTGCCAGCAGGATCTTCCATCTTAATTGTGGCATGCGGGATCTTTAGTTGTGGCATGTGGGATCCAGTTCCCTGACCAGGGATTAAAACCAAGCAGCCTGCATTGGGAGTGTGGAGGCTTAACCACTGGACCACTAGGAAGTCTGCATCATTGCATTTGGAATATTGTTTATAATGATATATTTACTGATCCATTTCCCCATAAACTATGAGCACTTTGAGGGCAGAGACCATCTTATTTGCCTTTGTCCCCCAGTATTTAGCCCAGTTTATGACACACAGTGGGCCCTTTCTAAGTGTATGCAGCATGAATCAGGGCTGAACGGGCCATTACATGTCCTATTTTTCCCTCTGCATAGACTCCTAATTAGCCCCATAGACTTCTCCCAGACCTGAAAGTATATCCCTTCTTGATGTTCTCAAAGGTTTCCCAGAGATTTCTGAGATATTAACCCTGAGAAATGTCTTAATTCTTGCAGCTCCTCATTGAAGCACCCTAAGCGGAAATGGGTAACTCTGAGGAAGGTAAGGAAAGAGGTACAGGGGGTCTGAGTGCAGTATTTTATGTTTATGGTTAGTGTTGTTGAATCTGGGACAGATATGTATTCCTGAGCCTTTCAACCACACACTCACTGGCAACCACTTTTTTAAAAAATAGTTTAATGTATTTTAATAGCAAACATAGCACAGAAGACAGACAACATTAAAAACATGTACTTGCATGTAGGACAACTCAGAAAAGTATACTGAATGGATGGAATCTACTGTATAATTAAAATGCTATAAACACCATTTAGTTGAAGTCAATAAGAAATTTGCTTGTTTTAAAAAAATCCAAATGCTGGCATTGTCCAGAAAAATTTAACTGGTTTATTTATTTATTCTCTTTCATTTTTATTTTTTGAATTATGGAAGTATGATAACACATTTACAGAAGACTTGGAAAATACAGAACAAAGTTACCTATATTTCCACTATGACAGGTTTATTTATTATTGTTATAAAGTTGAACTGCTGAATCTTGTTTACTGAAACATTTTGACTGGCATTAATGCTTTATGGTCCCACATTATGTTAAAAATTCACACAGAAATGAAAACGGAGAAACTACCAATACATGATTTCTGTCCCCCATTTTTCCACTTGCGAGCATACACTTAGGTACCTTTTGACTCAATAGAAAAAAAATAATGTTCAGAACTACCAATAGCAGGAAGAAGAGAATTTTTTTTTTTAAAGAATGAAATGTATCCATCATAGTGCATTCTTAAGCAGGTTCTCCACCTTTGTGGTATGCTAGCTGGATGTCTTTGCTATAATTGGTACATGTTTGGCATGGATAACACACAGGTTGACATTTTCAAAAAGGCCGACCAGACAGGCCTGGTTTGCCTCCTGTGAAGCGCCAATAGCTGCCCTCTGGAGGCTCAGATCTGTTCTGAGGTCCTGGGCAATTTCCTGCAGGAGACGCAGAAAGGGAAGTTTGCTCATCTACTGACTTCTAATGTTACGTCTGATTTCACCGAGTGCCACAGTACCAGTCCTGTTAACGATGAGGTTTCTTTACCCCTCCAGTAGAGGGCGCAGCTTTTGTAGCCAGTTGCTTTACCAGCCACGGATTTGAAGGCCATCTTGAGCCACCATATAGAGACCTCCTTAATTATTCCCCCTTCTCCATGGCTGGAGCTCTTTGAGCTAGAGGCAGTGCTGGCATTTGAGAGAGAAGGCAGAACAGCTGCGACTGTGTACACACTTCTTTTCTTTTAACCACATTTTTGTAAGTGAATAAATACTATCATCCATGGGGAGGAAATTTACTATAGATGAGGTCTACTTTGGTCTCAGCCTCCATCTATCGGTACTCCTCAAGCTTATGTTAGGAATTAAACTTAATGGTCTTCTGAAGAAGAGTGATAGCATCTACCTAATTGTAAGGGGGGGCTGGGGGGCTCTGTGGGAAGGAGTGAACAGGTGCTGTAAGGAAAGGCATCAAGGAAACAGTCAGGAGAGGAGGATGGTGGAGGTCACGGCCACCATACGGCAGAAAAAGAGAGAAGATGTTCCTGTCAATAAGTGTTCCTACCACAGTATGTTAAGCATGATGAAAAACAGATTAGTTTGCTTGCTTTTTACTTTGAAGCTTTGGGGTTTCTTCCCTTCCAAGAGAAGAAAACCACTGTTATCTTTATATGTCAATAATAATTGAGCATGTGGGTTATGTGGTCCCAAGCAGCACATTATTGACAAAGGGCAACTCAGACTGTCATGTAGAACTTGACAGCTCCCTCAAGACTACATCGTTCACAGCAGAAATGTGTACAAGCTGATGAGTGGGGTGAAAAGGAAGCTCATGAGAAAATTAAAGAGAACTGGTTCTCAACGTCTCCTCTGACTTGCAGCTCCTGGCTGATGAAACCCAAGAGTGAATTCCATCCCAGAAGCCATTTATTTAAGCCTCTCACTGCTCTATAGCAAATGAAAACCCTGAGGGATGCATTAAAATGCAAACTTCTCAGGAGAACTCTCTCTGCCAGTTGGCTTGCACAGTCAGTTCTCTCGCCATCCCTCCGTTCCTCTCTGCATTAAGGTTAAGGTTAATGACATTGTGTTGGTGTTATCCTTGTTACTGGTAGTTGCCCTTTCCCATCTCTCCCAGTTAGTGCCAGCAACAAAGCAGGGTAAATGGAGAATTCAGAGCACAGGATGCAGAGAATGTGAATGGGTTGCCTCAGCAGCCTCGATGCACTCTGGCTGTTGGCTGTTATGGCCACAACATACCCTCTCTTTTCTGTCCTTCCAGGAAGCCTGTGGCGAGACTGTGTTCTTAAGAAGCTCCAGCACAGTGTCTGTTTGGACTAATCTAAATAAAAGTGTGGATGCTCAATGCAAAAGTGTCCATCTGTTTCAGGCTTTCTATATAGAAAACCACTGAGAAGACTGCAATCCTTTAGCCAGACTTATGGAATCTCTGCACCTCCAAGACTCCTCTTTCTCTTCCTATATCCATGTTCTCTTCCACAGAGATCCCTAACACTGTCTTTTTCTCTAGACAGTCATGATAGCGCTATACAGTATTAGGTGCTCAAAGGGATGTTAAAGATGACCTGCCCTCTTCCTCTCTGCGCTTTCCAGTATAAGTTGGAAAGCTGGATGCAATTCTATCATAGAGAAACAGACAACAGGATACATGAATACATGCATAGCTAATTAAAGACAGAGCGCTAAAACCTGAGGGCTAGGAGACAATGAAGAAAGTGAAGCAGAGTCTCAATAAGCCCTAGAGAAAGAATAAAGGTGATGTGCTCTTGCTTACATGTTTTCATTTCTATAACAAATAACATACTGAAGGCATTCTGTGATGGAATCTGCAGAAGACAGCGATAACGCCTCCCATCCTGGTATGGGCATGGTGCTCTTCCCATCCAGAATTGGAGTCTGTTTCTTCCCCCCTTGAATCTAGCTGACCAGGTGACCTTTTTTGATCAAAAGAACTAGTGGAAGTGATGCTATGCCAGTTGAGAGGTCTACTAGTTTCTGTTTTTGCTTTTGGAAGTCATTGTGTACATAACTGACTGGCTTCCCGGCCAGTCATGTGCACAATTAAAGAATTGTCATGTTCCCAATTAAAGAATCTCATCATAGATTGCTGAATTATGGGAGGCCCATGAAGGACAACCAAGAATCCCAGCTGATAGCCAGCACCAGCGGCCTAGACATGTGGGGCCATCTTTGAGCCTGCAGCTCTAGACAAACCCAATCTACTCCTTCTGTAAAGACAGGCTCTCCTTGAACAGTCCACCAGCAAAATTGTAAAATCATGAGCAGATGAATAGTTGCTGTTGTTTCAAACCACTAAATATACACATTAATACATGATTGAAACAGCCTTCTATGCATGAGGCTCTGAAGGCTTTATCTCTTTTAATCTTCATTTTACAAATGAGTGAGTTGAAGCTTATAAATTGCTCTAAGTTATGCAGCTGGAAAGTAGAAGCTCTAGGATTTGAACCAGGTCTGTTTGACTTCAAGCTTTCCATATTTCTTCTCATGTCTTTCACCCAGGGACCCCCACTGTTTGGGTCTGGGTTGGAATCATGGGTTTAAGAAAGAAAACATTCCTAGAAGACAGTAAATATAAGGCAAAGTTTTGAAAAAGGAAGGGATCTATTTCGGCTAAGTACGAAGAGCTGTTCTGATCAGACTAAAACGCTTATTTTCAGTTGAGACCAAGTATCTATTCCAGCCTTTGTCAACTGCAGTTCTATGAGAATTAAGTTCCAATGTCCCAAGGCATTCCTTACATGTGATAAATTAACTTCTTCCTATGCATCCAGAATGTTACTAGTTATTTAGCATCCTTGGGACAACTGAGAAAACAGTCACACTAATCATATGTAGGGTCTAATGCACTTGATGAGAATGTTGGGAGGACCGTTAAGGAGCAGGGGCCAGAGTCCAAAGCCAGCCAGTCATGTACACAATGACTAAGACGCTAGCCTGCATCCAAGGAGAACTGTACTGGAATCCTAAATTTTTCATTTATGCACTCAACACTATGCTCAAAGTACCTTCTGAACTAAGGCTTACCATGTGCCTGGGAGGGAGTATGATTTCTTCATTAGTTTATCTCTTCATTATTTATCCAAAATCTTTAATACCTATTCATGCATATCATTTTGGGGTTGACCTGAGAGGGTCACATATTTCCCAGATTAGAGGCCTTTATGCTGAGTGAAAAATTCTTGTGCCTGGATCTACATTTTCTGCCCTCGTTGTCATTCTGATGGAAAAGAAAGTAGATCCATTGCTTATTTCTCTACAACAGCTTTCAAAATCATAATTTGGTGATAGAAAACTGGAGATGGGTTTCCTTAGAAGGAATTAACCCTCAACTTTCTAAAACTGCCTCCTTCACTTACCTGAAGGTGTGTGAAGAATTTCCTTACTCAGGCTGCTCCTAGGGGAAGAAGGAAGACAGTTAACAGCTTCTTTCCCTCTGATCCCCACTTTGCCACTACCTGCCTGGAAAGAAGGAAGCTACTGGCTTTGGTTTTCTTACCTCCAAAGACTCTGAACCCTGCAAGCAACTAAAATCCCACCTTCACCAGGAACCCACCGCAAAAGAGGCAATCCTCTTGTCCCAGCTCTTCCTCACATAAACTTGCAGGTTCTGGGTCTCCCCATCTTCTCCCTTTATCACACTACTAAACTCCAAGGCTCCTTCCTTCCTGTGGCATTTACTACAATAACATCTCACTCGTGCAAACCTCACCACCTCAAATTTACAGCTAAAAACTGAGAAGTAAACAAAAAGCCTATAAATAGCCAAAATAGTGGTCATAAACTCTGGAGACTGAACGTTCAGGCTCTTTGTTAATGGGAGAACTCTTTAATCATCTTTTGGGGACTTTTAATTTCAAAATTTTATAATATTTCTGAGAAGCTCTATTAACAGATGGCCCAGTCTATTCACAGGCAACCCTTGCAAGCAACAAAGAAAATCCCTAATAAGAAGGCTTAAACTTTTCACAACACAGCTTTTAATTTAGAGGAAGCCAGTTACAAATATTACCCTCAAAAGCTCTTAAGGCACACGGTATAAAACTCGATATTCATAATTATTCTCCTAACAATGTACTGTGATGATCACGATCCTGTTAGATAAGCGAGGGGTCAAATATAAGCTCAGAAAGGTCAAATGTACTCAATATTCTTGTCAACAGGGGAGCCACGGTGGAATCTGAACCCAAATCTCCCTGTCTGAAAAACCCGTTGTTTTCTTCACACCTTGAATGGCTCAGGATCCGAATGTTTTTGCCCAAAAAACCCGTGGAGATGCACTTCTTAGAGAACCTCAATATACTTAAAATATAAGTGTTTAGTTGCTTCCGTAAACTTGGAAAAATGACAACTGAGGGATCGGGCTCACACGGCGCTTCCGAACGAAGTGAGCCTAAGAAAACGAATTTCCCCAAGCGGAGCATTAATTTCACCGCTTTAAAGCTCAGCTCTGAGCCGATGGAGAAGGAGGGGGCGGAGATGAGAGTGCGGCAGGGTGCGAAGCCCTCGCTCATTGGGCCGTTCCCTCGCGCGCCGCCGCGAGATCCAGGCTGCTGGAGAGAATCCAAGCAAAATTTCCCGGGCACGAGCCCGCGCTCGCGGGCTCCCCGCCTTGGCCCTCCGGATGGAGTCTTTCACAGAACGGCTTTCCACTCTGCCCCACCTGCAGACTTCCGGCCGACTGCCCCTCCGCCGCCCCGCCTCAGAAGGGCGTGGGGATGCCGGCCTCCACCAATCATTGAGCGCGTGTGGGGGGAGTGGGTGGGACCTGAGAGATTCGAAAGGAGCCCCGCCCCCTGGGAGCTGATTCCCGGGACTAGACTGTGGAAGGAAAGCACCTTCCACGGGAGGTGGGGCGGGTCGGAAACTGAAAACGGAGCGTGGCCTGTAGAAGTGGTGTGGATGCGGTGCTGCGGGGAGTAGAAAGGTGCCTTGGGGAGAGGAAGAACCCGGAGAATGGTGGCGGGGAGGAAAATGGGGCGCATAGACCCCTCCAGCGAGGGGAGGTTGGGTCGCAGTGGGGCGGGGCCGGTGTGTGGAGGGAGATGGAGTGCGGGACCTTCTGCCCGTACTTGCCCGGGTGGTAGCAAAGGTAGTTTACAGGGGCAAGTCCTACTGCGGGAACGCTTGCTTTACCTTCACGATTATTCCCAACCCTTGGCTTGCACCCGGAGTCTAGCTGGGAGGCCTTGGGCAGGATGGAGACGTGAGGGAAGGTGTTTTCTCTCCAGCTCGGGTGTCTAAGCTGACTCTTTCCTGCTGTCTGGAACATGGAAGATTTAGAAGAAGGTAAGGAAACGCTGGAGGGAAGAATGGGACCCTGTGATTGAGAGCCATGTTGGAGACCGAAAGCTGACATTCCTTCTTTCCTCCCCTACAGACGTAAAGTTTATAGCGGATGAGACCTTGGACTTTGGGGGGCTGTCCCCATCGGACAGGTAGTAGACTCTTTACCCTGTTTACTTTTTTCTCACAACGTTTGTTTTAACCCCTTACTGCTGAACTATTGGCCTCGGGTCTGGATTGGTAATTTAGCAAGGTTGGGTGCACTGGGGCTTCTGGGTGGCTGGGTGGCCCTGCGACACTGCTGGGGATGTGGGGAGTGATAAGCTGGAATGAGATTTCAGGGTGTTAAGAAGAAGGGTAAGTGGATTTATGGCATCTTCACCCCGGCATAATTTCCAATGTCAGTAAGCGCAGAAGGCCTCGTAGAACCAGGTGTTTCATCACTTAGATCTCACGGCCAGTATGGGCTTCAGGGTTTGCAGTTGTGTTCTTGACTCTGCTGTGGGGGTTTTGTCCAGTCCCCCTTGCAGTTTTCTCCTGTGGGCATGATGCCTGGTTTGTTTTCTGTCTCAGTCGAGAGGAAGAAGATGTAGCAGTGTTGGTGACTCCGGAGAAACCCCTCCGACGAGGCCTGTCCCATCGAAGTGACCCAAATGCAGTGGCCCCCACCCCCCAGGGTCTGAGGCTCAGCCTAGGCCCCCTCAGTCCAGAGAAGCTGGAAGAAGTCCTCCATGAAGCCAACCGGCTGGCTGCTCAGCTGGAGCAGTGTGCCCTGCAGGAACGGGAGAACACAGGCGAGGGCTCAGGGCCTCGAAGGGTGAAGCCCAGCCCTCGACGGGAGACCTTTGTGCTCAAGGACAGTCCTGTCCGAGACCTGCTGCCGACCGTGAGCTCTTTGGCGCGGAGCACCCCCTCTCCAAGCAGCCTGACACCCCGACTCCGGAGCAGCGATAGGAAGGGGTCCGTCAGGGCTCTTAGAGCAACATCTGGAAAGAAGCCTTCCAGCGTGAAGAGGGTGAGTTGAGAGGGCTTGGCTTAGATGTGTGCCTCCAACACTGTGCATGACCCACTACAGACATTTTCCTTGTTGGTAAGATGGAGATAGTCAAATTCTACCTTGTAGAATTGTTGGAATTAAACGAGGTGCCAGAAGCAAGGCACGTACCACAGCATCTGTGTATAAGCTCTGTAATGTCTGTAATAAGCTCTCAATAAATGGCGGTGGTGGTGACGCTGCTGTTGTTGGCAGGTAACTTCTCTTCTTCCTGGGATCTAGGAAGCTCTCCACCTCTGTCCCTGAGTCAGCCAGGCAGAACAGACTCTTTTTCCACTCTAGTCCTTTTTCTCCCTCTGTGTGTTTCAGGAGTCGCCCACATGCAATCTGTTCCCTGCCTCCAAAAGCCCAGCATCTTCTCCTCTTGCCCGATCAACTCCTCCGGTCCGGGGAAAAGCCGGGCCCAGTGGGAGAGCGACAGCAAGTGAGGAGACCTGGGCGGTGAAACTGTGGGTGGGTGGGGTGTAGGGAGTGGGGAGGATGTGGTGTGAACCCTGAAATTCCTCCACTCCTCTCACCAGGTCCACCTACCCCTGTCAGACCAGTCTTGACCCCACAGCCTTCTACCGGCAACTCTCAGCGCCTGTCTCGGCCCCAGGGAGCAGCTGCTAAACCTTCCAGTCGACTGCCTGTTCCCTCGGCCATTCCCAGGCCTGGCAGCAGGATGCCACTTGCCAGCCGGAGTGTCCCATCCAGCAAAGGTGCCCCTCCTTCAGATTCCCTGGCAGCTCGGAAAGGACTTCCAAGACCAAGTGCGGCAGGGCACAGAGGTGAGGAAGAACAGACAAAGAATGAGAAATCTTCAAAAAAAGAATAAGAAATCAGGAGGAATAATATTTACCCTTGCACAGCATGCATGCACTCTCCCAGTTGGTCACAGCAACTCTCCCATCCTCATTACAGCACTGTCTGGAGATGGGAGACTGCGTTAAGGAGAGGATGTGGGCCTGAGCGAGGCGTTCAAGCCTTGGTTTTTGAATACCTTATGTTTTTTACCTTGGGGAAGAAAGGCACTATCCCAGACTCACTCTGCCTTGACAACACTATTTCTTTTTGAGAAGGTCACTTGAACTCTCTGCTAACTCATGTCTTTTGTTGACTCCCATCAAGTTCCTGTTTCTCAACGACCAAATCTTCCCATCTCTGGTGCTGGTCGCAGCAATCTGCAGCCTCCCAGGAAAGTTGCTATCCCAGGACCTACCAGGTAAGACAGTGAGATGCTGTCTCTTTCTTCATTATCATCTGGGCTTCCAGGCTGTTTTGCCCTTCAGCCCCAAATCCCATGAGGCAAGATGGGCATGAGGAGGGGAGCCTCAAGGGGCACGGAGTCCCATTGCTTCCCACCCTGAGGAACTTGAATTCAGCTCGTGACAGATGGGCTTGTGAAAGAAGGGCACTTTAAAATAGTTCCTCCTTCTGTCTCCTTAGGTAAAGAGATCAGGACAGCAAGCAAGAATGCAGTAGCAAACCACTATAGACACTGCCTGGACTCACCTCTGTTTGGTTTCCCAAGCCTTCTCTTTGGAGGCAGGCCTGATAGCAGATCTGGCCCAGGGATAGAAGAAAGAGCTGCCACTCCCAACTGGTGCTTCAGAACTAGAGACTGCGGGAGATGCGGTGGATTAGGGTTGAGCTGGAGGGTTGTCAAACTCTCTGAGTTGACACTAGATAGGGAAAAGAGGTTGCCTCGCAGTGGTGAAGTTCACACAGAGAAAATAAGAAATGCTGGAGAGTGTTTGTCCTTATTCACCCCCACTCTTGTATCCTGGTCCAAAGTTTGATTTTCTCCCCGGGCTTCGGTTCACTGGACATTTACATGTGAATGGCCTCTGTGGCCAACCTCCCTGCTCTCCAAGGAGCAGTCCTCCAGAATCACATCCTCTCCTGGACTCAGGCCTGTTTGGAGAGGCAGAGGCAGGCATCTGGTCTCCAGAACTTGTTTCCTGTGGATTCTGTGACTCCTAATGGGCCAGTTTATAATAAGCTTACTCCGTTGGTCTGCATTTTTTTCTAAAATAAAATGCATATATTTTTATATTCTGTGTACATGTGGAAGTAAATACTCCTCCAGTTTCTAACAGATTTGGAGTAAACTCCTATGTAATTTCAATGAGGGAGCCGGGATGGGTTTCCCAGGCAGGGGTCTGAATAGGCCCGAAGGCCTTGAGATTCCAGCTCATCAGGCAATGAGTAGCCCCCTTGCTGGCATTCAGTGGGAATAGGCTGCCTCTTCCCAGGCATTTCCAGGCTTCTTATGTTATTACTGGGTCCAGATCAACTTAAGTATAGTTTAATTCACAGTATGTGAGGCTGTCAAACCAGGGTCTTGGTAAATTATTTGGATCCTAAATGTGGGTGTCTTTTCCTGGTAAGAGAATAGAGCTGCCTGGGAGTTGAGCATCTTGTCTGCTGTACTTCAAGGATGAGGGAGCCCTTGGGTGGGTACTCTGGTGTTCAGGTTTGCTGGCTGTCTCAGTTAGAAGATACCTGATCACCTCATCATGCTGTGCCTCACATCTTTAGAATTGTTGGTGTTCATTTCCTTCCCCTTCTAGAGGGCTGGCACCAGGGTTTATAAACTTGTGCTGTGCCTCGTGTTGTAAGTTGTACATGGTGGAGGATTTCATTCGTTTTTTGAAAATGAATGACAAAAGGTTTAACAGATTTAACTACAGGTCTCCCTTTTCTCACAGCTGTTGACTTGCAACCGGAGCCAGCTCAATTCCTTGTGAGTTTTGAGAGGACTTTCCTCCTTGGAGGCCAGGCCCTGACTTAAGGAAGCCTGCAGGCAGCTGGATAAAGGGAGTGAGTTCCAGCTGGTGCCATACCCCCCAGGTTTACACATCCATAGGCCTCCTTCTGAGGCACTAACAGGCCTTTCCCCTTGTTCCCAGGGCCAGCCACCACCCCCCACCATGGCTTCTTCCTTCTTATGGCTGATCGTCAGGTTCATTCACCATGTGTCACCAGCACACGTCATCTTTCCTGAGCCTCTTGCAGCAACTCCTGCAGCCTCTGGGCTTCTGAGCATTCAGTTCAGGGAGGGGGTGTGGAGACAGACACTGAGTATTCAGCTCTGGAGAAATCTGGCAGGGGCAAGAAAACATCAGGTGTGCATCCCAACTGCGTCCTGCACTGGTGTCTGACAGAAGCAAGCCCAGACACGCACTTAGGTGTGGCCAGCAGATGGCCTGTTTGTATGGCCTGGGTTTGGGCCAGGTCCTGTGGATCCTCAGAGGTAAAATAAGCAGCAGACCCGTGTGTTGTTGCCACCTGGTGGCCAAAGAGGACAAGACATGTTCCTTTTGCCCTGTAGGTCAGTCTGGGGTTTGGTTAAAGGTTAATGGCTCTTCCAATCCCATTGCAAATCTGCTTAAGCAACATTGCAGTGTTAAGGAGGCAGCGTCAGCTGGGGAGGAACCCCCCCATGCCCCCCAGCAGCTGCCCTTCTCCTTTGCTACCTGCTCACTTCCTTCCCTTTTGGTCAGGCTTTCTGTTTTTTCTCTTTCTGGCACTCTTACCTCCACCCCAACCCAGTAGCACCAAGGAGGGAAGCCAAGGTTTGTTGGCCTCTTACTATGCACTGTGAACTGTTCAAAGCACTTACATGTGTTAACTCATTTAATTCTCATAAAAGCTCAATTAGGCAGACGCCATTATCCTCATTTTGCAGGCAGGGGAACTAAGGCTCAGAGAGATTGTCACTCAGTCTGGTTCCAGTGTTTGTGTTCTAAACAGCTCCCCTCTGTGGCCCCCATGTGAACTCCCTATCTAGTTTGTTGAACAGATCGAAAACACAACTTGGTAACACAAATGATGTGGCAGAGTATACAGCTGGCTAGAGTATGAATAGTTTCTTTATTTCCGATGCGGAGAAACACAAGACGGCCCAGAGGAGTGAAATCAGGAGGTACCTAGTCACTGAGCACCTTTGAATTCCCAACAGCCTCCTTACTCAGCCCTCCCTACCTCCTGAATTCTGCTCCCAGAACAGGACGCAGCTGGAATCCTGCCTGCTCTGTGCAGCCTCTCCAGCCATACAAGGCCCTCCTGTCCTGGTGAAAAGCATACTTTCCCTGCTATTGGTCACATCTTCCTTGGAGATACCAGGACATGGGCTCAGCACTGATGAGGCTACTCGGGGGTCACTGCTGCGAGTGTCGGTAGAGGATATCTGAGTCCCCTGACCTGGGCCCTCCCAGGGCCCTGCCTGCCCTTGCTTTCCGGAGACCAGGCCTATCCCCTCTGGAAGGACAGGGCCGCACACAGGAGGACACAGTGACGGTGCTCAGCCCGCACAGAACTAGTTTATTCAGTAGTATGGAGAAATGAAAAAACAAAACACAAAGTGCTACCATATTTACAGTAACAATCAAACTGTACAGTCAGATGGTTAGTATCAAGTTAGCATCCAGCATCTTTGTATTTTTTTAGGTCAAGTCATCAGTAGTAAAAACCAGTTAAGTTTTTAACCTTTTGCAGGAATTGCCGAGGGGAGAGGCCAGGGGGGAGAATCCATGGCAGAAAAGCCAGAGACCAGCCTTACAAATGAGAAATAAGAGTATTTCTCTACTCAGAGCCTCTTTTTCTAGCCACCTGCTCCAGAGGAAAGTTGGTGACAAGTCTGGAATACATGTTTAGTGTAAATGGTGACTCCAATGAATAGCAGCTGGCAAAACCAAGGAGGAAGAGGAGAGGTGGGGAGATGACAGCCTGGAGCAAGAACAAGGGCCTTAGGCCCCCTTGCCAGGACTGCTGGGTACACACCCAACCTGTGATGGCCACGTCAGACCCCCTGGGACTGGACCCATCCCAAAACAAAAAGCAAATAAATAAAAAATATATATTAACTCTCTCTTCGCAGGGAGCTGGGTGGTGAGGGGGAGAAAAAGGAACAGGACTTGGTCTTTTGAAGAAGAGAGCCAATTCCAAGAAGGAGATAAAAACAGAACATGTCTCAAGAGGCCACAGCAGGTCAGTGGGATTTGTCTGGTCCCGGAGAAGGGAGAGTGGACACGGGATCCCGGACTCCAGACCTGGCCTGGAGACGGCAGGGGACTCCCGCCAGTCTTCCTCCTCCCTGTCCCACCCACACAATAGCAAAGAAGCGCAACTTAACATGTGACTGGCCTTCCCCAGCACGGGGCAGGCAGGGAAATGAAGCACTTTTGGGTCAGCGAACTGAGCAAACACCCGGGCTGCAGCACATGGCCAGAGTCCAGGGAAAGGAGAGGGGCGGGGGTGGCCCGGCCGCCACCCAGGGGCGCGGGTTCCCCTCAGAATGTGTTCATGCAGCATTTGGGGGTCCGGGGGCGCTGAGTCCTTCTGCCCCCTCTCCGGACAGGGCTTTTGCAGTTCCTGGAGGTGGCAGCACAGGCAGGGTGAGGAGCACCCTCCGTCCTGCCACCCTTGCCGCGCTGAGGCCCAGCCGGTGCAGCCTGCAGGGCACGACGCCCTGGGTGCGTGTGGCTTCGTCCTTTCCTTTTGGTGATGGCAGACGAGGGGCAGGCCCCCCAAGAGCCCCTCTCCTCCCAGAGGCACAGCAGATGGGAAACTGAGGAGAGGCTGGGAGAGCGTCCTGGGGGGTCCTAGCCTCTTAGGGGAGGGAAAGGGGAGTCAGTGTCCAGCATATAAAAAAAATTAATCCCTGAAGTCATGAAGAGTGGAGATCCTTTTTTAAATTTCTTTTTTTTTTTTTTCCTCTTTTCTGAAAAACTTTGTCTTGGAGATGTTGGCCCCAGGGGTCCAAAGTGCAGTGAGGGGGATGATGGGGAAGGGAGTTGGCACTAGATGGCCTGGGGTGGGGTGGGTACCCCTCCCGGCAAGGCCCAGGCTCCTCAGATGGACGTTTCATCGCTGCTGCAGGCAGGCAGGCGGGGGAGCAGAGGCAGGATAAAGCACAAGACAGGAGTGGGGGCATGAGTGCAGCTGGGGAAGGTAAGGGAGCCTCGGGGTGTAGGAACCACGGCCCAGAGTTAATGCAGGAAGTTAAAGAAGAGAAATCTGGAGAGGCAGGAAAGCAAAGTGACAGACAAGGCAGACAGAGGGTTAGTCAGAGCAGAGACAGGGAGAAGCTTTCCCTGAAGAAGGAAACAGAAAAGCAACCCCAGCTCCCTGCCCTCCCCCACTCTACCCGATGCTGGGCTGGGCCAGCCCCGAGGGGCACCATGTCTGTGGGCACGTGGCCTGAAGGGCCCTGGACCACAGTCTGCGGCCAGCCAGGGTGGCCTGGGGGAGGTCTGGAGGCAGGGCCTCTGCGGGGCTGCACCCTGATCCGCCCGCCCAGCCACACTCACTCGGAGCCTGAAGAGTCCTCATCCACCGTGCCCGCCTTGATGCTCATGGCAATGGGCATGACCCCATTCAGCTGCTCCTGGAGGCTCTGCCGAGGGGGAGGGCGGGGAGGGGGCCCACCCCGGCTGCCCTCGCTGGCTGAGGAGCCCCGGGGAGACGTGGTGCCTTGCTCGGGGGGTAGCCGGAGGAGGCTGCTCTTCTCACTGATGGTGGGCAGACACTTCTTCTTGAGGATACCTGTGGGCCAGAGGTGGGCACTATGAGGGGCAGGTGGAAGGAGCACATCCACTGGCTGCAGGCTGGTGTGAGGTGCGGGGGGCTGTTGATGGGGAGCACACAGTTGTGCATACCCCACTCACCTTTGTGAGGCTGGGCAGAAGGGCCTGGAAGGGGGCCCAGGGACCCCTCCCAAGTCAGGGCATCTCCATTCTCTCGTGGTCGCTCCTCAGAGGCCCCGTTGCCACCACCTTCCTTTGCTGTGGTCCCAAAGTCTCCTGGCCAGGGGACCTTCCCGGGCCCCAGGCCTCCCTCTGGTGGACAGAGGAAGGAGATAAGGCCCAGAGAAGGCAGCCAGGAGAATCGCCACCCTAGTCTCACCTCCCAGGAATCCCAGTCCCTCTGCCCTCCTGCTGCCCCAGAGGCCACAGCCCTGCCCTGGCCCACCCTTGGGGGTGCTGTGCAGGGGCAGTCTCTCGGCCCCAGGCCCCAGCAGGCTGTCCCAGCCCGGGTCTCCAGGGAAGGCTGCCTCCCTCTCCTCTTCCTCTTCCTCCTCCTCGCTGTCTGATGAGTGGGTAGATGCATAGGAGCCGCTCTGGTCATCCTCCAGGGACAGGTCACTGTCGGAGTCTGTGTCTGGATCTAGCAGGTGGGGGAGAGATCATGGAGAGCCCATCCGCCACCACCCACCCTCAGTAAAAGCTGGGTGGCTGGGCCTCCACCCGCCACTGGCATCAGGAGGTTCCATCCTCACCATGTTGCTGGTTTTGACCTTCCAGGAACAGGCCACCGGGGTCCCCCAGGCCAGGGGGCCCTTGGCCAGGGTTCAGTGTGGACTCCTCCCTAAGAAGATAAGACACACTGGAGGCATCAGCCTGGCTCCTCACCCTGTGTCCCATTCTCTTGTCTGTCCTGGGTTTTCCCGTTCCTGTCCCATGTCCCTCAGCACTTCTGGGTTCAAGCTGCCACCGTGTCAACCACGGTGCATGCTACCCAACTCCTAGCCGCCTGGCCTGGGTCTAGCAGGCCTGGTTCCCTTCCTCTCACCCCAGCCCTCTGCCCCACCAGACCTCACCTCAGCAGGAAGGGGATGTAGCTAGGCTGACTTTTGCCCGAGCGGCTGGCACTGTGCAGGGAGCCGGCTGAGTCTCCGTAGGGCTGGTACAGCCTTCCGTCCCCATAGGGGCTGGGGCAGTTGTAGGACTAAGTGGGGAACAGATAGGTCAGTACGCTGGGGAGTGGGACAGGGTGGCCCCAGGCTGGGAAATGGAAGGGCTGAGGGAGCTTGCCCTAAATTCTACCCACCATGTACCAAGGATGAAGAGAGAGGCACTATGTCTCTGCTGCCCCTATTTCAGGGCCTAGTAGTGGTTGTAGCTCTGCTGTAGCTATGCCAGTTCTATGTACCCCAAATACCCTGGGCTTGGCTGTCTAAGGGCTCGTTAGGAAAAGACTGCTCCCCTGAGAGCATCCTGGGAGACAGATTTACCAAGACACACAAGGGCTCTCAGGGGTGGGGCATTTATGACTGATCACCTGTCTTGGCCACTTTCTCCTATGCTCCACTCCCATCCCTCTCAACTCAGCATCCCCCTCCTGCACCCCCAACCGTGCCCCTTCTTCCCCAGCCACACACACATACCATCTCACCACCCTTCCTCCTTTCAAGAAAGGATGTAAGGATGGAGAAAAAGTGGGACAAAAAGCACAGAGAAGGGGCTCCTTGGGCCTCCTGCCTCTCCCCTGCCTCATACTCGGCACGACCCCTCCACCTCCTGGACCCCGGGCTCCCTCACCGATGTCAGGGTAGACTTGGTGGTCAGCGCAGGGTCAGGGCTGGGCTTGCGGCTGCAGGCGAACTTGAGTGCTTTCCGGACCTCCTTGCTAAGCACCACGTAGGAGAGGAAGATGAAGGGGCCCTGACAGGCAAGAGGCAGCAACTGTAAGTGCTGACTAAGACACCTCCTAGTCAAGCTTCCCCCACACTCAACTCCAGTGGCCTCCCCCAGGGCATGGGCTGGGCCGGTACCTGGACACAATTGGAAGCAGCGAAGAGGTAGTGGAAGAGGAGGGTGTCACTGTTGACGGACAGCAGTGCCAGCAGCCACGTGGCACTCAGCAGCAGCAGGACAGCGAAGGAGGGCCGCAGGCCCGAGCTGGGGACAGGTGGGCTGTGAGTCTGGCTGCAAGGCCTCCCATGCCGGTGCCCATCCACCGCCTAGGTACGCCCACCCTATACTCACACAGGGCCCTTCTTCTCAAAGCCCTGCCGCTGGGCAGCACAGGAGGCCCGGGCCGCCAGGATGTACAGGAAGACACTCATCTGTCAGGGGAGGAGGGGGTGTGGGGGGGATCGTCGGGACACAAGACGGCTTCCATCCCACCCCCCGAGGCCTCCGCCATTCCTAAAGGGGAGCCGGAGGTCACACTTAGCCTGCTCCACCCTACCCCCAGGCACTCTCTAGCACTTACTGAGACCGCAAAGGCCACGGGGCCGGTGAAACTCCATATGAGTGTGTCGTAGATGGAGAGCCAGCAGAAGTCGGGGTTCCCATAGCCCTCCGGGTCCAGGCCCACGGCTAGACCTGGGAGTGTGGTGACAGCAGCCGGGAAGGGTGGTCAAGGGACTTGGGAATCAGTCAAGCGGTCAAGTGGGCTCCAAGGGCCAGGTGCAGGGGAGGAAGGGTTCTGTCCACCCTCTGTCCATGCCATCCTTTCTGGCCTAGGGGACCCTCTCCCTGGGTGGGGCTCCCAAGCACCGAGTTAAACCAGAGGGACGCTTGTGGAGAACTTGGCCCGGGGCATAGGGATGTGTGGCCTCCGGGTCTGGGATGTACGTGGGAGAAGGTGGCATAAAGGTGCGCCGAGGCCCTAGGGATGCAGACCCTCAAGACCCGGGCTGGGGGCGGGGGGTACCTGTGATGAAGGCGGGCACGCCCCAGCCCAGCATGTAGTAGAATCGCATGGGGCCGGCATTGACGTCGCGCACCTCGGTGAGCGCCCGGTACAGGTGCAAGGCCTCCAGCAGGGCCCAGGAGAAGGTGCAGAGATACAGGAAGTGCAGCAGGATGGCAATGACTGTGCAGGCAAACTGAGGGCCCAGGCCGCGCCCGGTCAGTGCCCAGGCCACACCCAGGATGCGGGCTCTGGAGAAGGTGCAGAGATACAGGAAGTGCAGCAGGATGGCAATGACTGTGCAGGCAAACTGAGGGCCCAGGCCGCGCCTGGTCAGTGCCCAGGCCACACCCAGGATGCGGGCTCTGCTCTCACCAGACTGGAGAGGAGAGCCTGGGTGCTGGACGCTGCTTCCGGGGGAGTCTGGGCCATAGGAAGGTACCTCTAGGGTGTGCTGGGGAACCAGGGGGAGCTGGAGCGGCGGAAGCCACGTGCTAGGCCCCAGGCTGGCTCTTTACCCCTCATGGCTGCAGAAGCAGGGATTGAGGGGAACGCTGGGGAAGACTGACATGGGATCCTGAGAGTGGGGGACCCTGGGGAAGGTTTCTGTTGAGGAGGAACATCTTACAGGGAGGTCAGCCTGGTTGATTCCCAGGAGGAAGACCAGCTGAGCCAGGCCCAGGGCAGCCGTCAGGTTCCGTCGGATGCCGTGCTGGTTGGAGCGCAGAGCGCGCAGGACAGCAAGGAAGAGGAAAGTGAGCAGGAGGGCGGCCAGGGTGACCCCGAGGGCCACGTATGTCAGTGTCTTCAGTGGCAGGATCTCCCCATTCTGCAGGGGTGGGTGGCAGAGAGCCAGGGGGATTAGAAAGGGGAGGATCTGAGCACCCAGTCCAGAGCCCTGGGCTCCCACCCCCAGCCCTGCGGCTGTCCACCCCCACCCCTGCGGGCCCAACCTCACGCCGAGACACGTCCATGAGCACGGCGAAGCTCGTCATGTGGTTGCACTGGCAGCTGACGTGGCTCTCGTTGCGGAAGACGACTTCGCAGCCTCGGGCTGACCAGCCGCCAGTGCCACTGACCCTGTGTGAGGGAGGCAGGGTCAGGAGACAGGAGGGTGGGGTGCACTGGGGCCTGGGGGCTCGGCCCACAGCCCTGGGGCACAGGGCAGCGCAGGCTCACAGGATCGAGTGGTTCCAGAAGACACAGATGGGTTTGGTGCGCTCCTCGGTCTCCAGCAGCCGGAACTGCACCGTGACTGGCTTGTCCAAAGCACGGGGCAGGAGCTCCTCATCGTCATGGACGCTGATGCTCACCACCGGTGTGTTGATGACGGGGCGTTTGGGAACTCTGGGCAGGCAGGCACACAGTCACCACAGTATTTGCGTGAGTGGCATGCACACATACTAAGTCACTTTAGTCGTGCCTGACTCTGTACGACCCTATGGACTGTAGCCCGCCAGTCTCCTCTGTCCAGGGGATTCTCCAGGCAAGACTACCGGAGTGGGTTGCATGCCCTCCTCCAGAGGATCTTCTCAACCCAGGGATCGAACCCACATCTCTCACGTCTCCTGCATTAGCAGTTGGTTTCTTTACCACTAGTACCACCCGGGAAGCCCTGCGTGACTGGAGGACCCTTCTCGTCACCCTGAGATGCTGCCGACCCCTGGCCCCTCTCTGTGGCTCACCCACTGACCGGCACCCCCGCCCACCCTTGTCTCCCTGGCTGCTCACCTCAGGCTGCGCTTGTCTGGGTCGTAGTTATGGGGCAGCAGCCCGGCCAGGGTGCGGTAGATGATGACACTGGCCACCGCCTCACCCTGGCTCAGCTCCGGGTGCCGCCGCTGCCGCCGAGTCAGCTCCTCCGGCTCCTGGGGCTCTCCGGGGCCCGCGGGTCTGACCACAGGGGGCGATTCTGGGATCGGGTACACTGTCTCCTCAGCTGGGTCCTTCACAGACACCCCAGCCTGGCCCCCCGACCCACCCCTCGGCCCCCACTGACCTCTGAAGACAGACTCAGGCAGAATGACCGTAGTCTCCAGGTCTGGGGGCCGCTCCCCACGCAGCGCCTCATAGCGGGGCAGCTTGGCCCCAGCGAAGTTCCCCTTGTCCAAGCGAACGACAGAGATGACTAGGGAGAGGGCAGAGGTCAGACTCTAGGTGAGGGGGGCAGGCCCCCGGCACGGCCCTGCACACACCCTCTCCGGCCCGGCGGGCAGCCTCACCGATGTTGGGCGTGACGATGGTGAAGGGGCTCAGGTAGGTGTGCCGCATGTTCTGGGCCAGGGCGCTGGCATAGGCCTCATAGTGCTGCAGCAGCCAGGCGGTGCCACCCTCTGTCTGCTGGATCAGCTCCCAGTGCCGCTTGTTGGCTGCATCCAGGAGGGCGCTGCCCACGCGCAGCAGATTCTAGGGTGGGCACGGTCACAGCAGGCTGTGCCCACAGCCCACTCCTTGTCCCCACCATGCCTGTCCTCGACCAGCCCTGGCTCACCCCCCACCATGCCCCGCCCACTAATCCTTTCTCCTCTGTCTCTAACAACTTCCCAGGGCCTATGCCTGTGCCCACACGATTATGTGATGCGGGTCCCTCCCTGTCCTGGCCTAGTGGGCAGGGCCCCTCCTCTGGCGAGCCTGGTCAGACCGGGTCCTCATACAAACATTATTCTCTATGGGTACCCTGCTTTGAGAAGGGTCGGGAAGAGGTGCTATAAATGACCCATGTGCTGGGCCACGGTTCAGGGGGTCTCATGGAGGCCTCATGCCGGCCGGGAGCTCCCTAAAAGCAGGGAGGGGAGTGCCCCCCACTCTGCCCCGAGGTTACCAGGAGCCAGCTCACTCACCATGACCTCCTCCCACCCGCCTTCCCTGCCCACTGTGAGCCCCACCTCGGTGAAGTGCACGTCCTGTGTGGCGGACAGCCCAAAGCCTCGCTGGGCGCTCTCGTGGGCCAGCAGCCGCGTGGCCAGCTGGTAGGCCACCTTGACGTCGCTGCCAAAGTAGCCAGCCGTGTGTTGGGTAGCGTTGCGCAGGAGTAGGGCCAGCCGCTGGGAGCGCCCTGAGTCCAGGCCTGACTCGTTTCTCTGTAGCCGCTCAGCCTGGAACCAAGACAGGCAGGGCAGTCAGCACAGAGGGGACAGCGAGGTTCCCCGAGGGTGGAACTGGAACTCCAGAGCACAAGGACTAGGGAAGGAGAGAGACAGCTCTGGCAGGGGCCCCCAGGGGCAGGAGCTGGAGTTGTTGGAGTCCCCTTTCTCAAAACTGGGGAGGCGGGCAAGTCATCCTGGGTGAAGACAGGGTGAAGGGCAAGGAGATGGAGAAGAGAAGGTTCACTTACAAATCCCTTCAGCTCTGAGAAGGTGACCGACGTGCAGTTGAAGAGGTTTGGGGGAAGCCACCCTCTGTGCTCGTCACAGTGGCGCACGGCAGTCCCTGGGGGAAGGCAGCCAGGAGGGCAGGCCTCAGGGAGAGACCTTGCTGAGTTCTGTGGGGGGCCAACCCCCATGGACCAGAGACAGGAGACTAACAGACAAGGGCCCTGCTGTCCAGTACCCCAGCGTGTGTGGAACACCAGAGCCAAAACCTCTGCGAGATCAACCCACAGGAAGGCTACAGGAGTGCGGGGCCTGTGGCCTCCCTGAGCCCCTGGACTCGGCTGCCCTACTCCGGCCCCCACCTTGAACTTTCTGCCACACACTCTCTGTTTCTGATCTCTGCTCATGGTCAATGCAAGGGCCAGCGCCAGCCTGTATCCTGCAGCTCCCCTGGGACAGCATCCCATGTCCCCTGCTCCCCAGGCCATCTCTCTAGTGGCATAACTCCAGTACGAGGTGGTGAGCTGAGGATAGCAACCTGTGTGACTCATCTTTGAACCTCTAGTACCCAGCCTTGTGCCAGGCACCCTGCAGGTTTTCAGCACTTTTGTTATGAGTCCAAACTGTAGACACCTTTCATCTAGGCAAACTTGGGAGCAGGGGAGCAGTGAGCCAAGGAAGCATGGGACACGGAGTCCCCCAGACCTGGAGGCCAGAAGTTGGGGTCGCAGGATCTGCAGCCAGGGGCTCCCCACCCTCACTCCACTGATAAAGGCCAAGTCCTCTGTTTCATGTTCCAGGCCTCCAGCACCTACCGAAGGAGCCTCTGGGACAGGGGGCAGCAGCAGGCAGCCCAAAGCGGGTGCGGGGCCACCAGATCCCAGCCTCGATGGCCCTCGGGCAGCTGTCGTAATTCACTGCAAGGAAGTGCACCATCACTCAGGAGCAGCCGTCCCCCTACAGCGATGCCCGGGTTCCCCAGCCCTCCCACGGCAGCTTCAGGTCTGCAGCCCATCCCGGCTCCTGGCCACCCCCGGGACACTGGAGCCTGGCATACAGCAGGGAGGGCCCCCCACCCATCTCGAGAGCCCTACCTTCACAGCCGTTGGTGGTGACCTCGGCAAAGGGGTTGTCACAGCGATCACACTGGCGCCCAATGACGCCTGGCTTGCATGGACACTGGCCCTCCTCAGGGTCACAGACTCGGGACAGAGAGCCCGTGGGGTAGCAGTCGCACAGAAGGCAGGCGGGGCTGCCAGGGGGCCGGTAGTGGTTCTCCTGAGAGGGAGAAGGGACACGGGGTCGCTGGCCCAGGCTCTCTTCCCTGGGTGCTCACGGATCCTCTCACTGTGGCCCCGCTGGAGAGAGGCTCCCTGACCCCCAAGAATGGTACTCTCTAAGTATTTATTAACTGGTCGTGATTCGGAGTTTAACCCACCAGTGAGATACCAATCAATTAGAATGGGCTGCAAACAACCCGTACAGCTGGCCCAGAGCTCACTGATTAAGTATAGGTCCTGGCCCCCTCCCCACCCCAAGACACACAAGGACAAATAACCACTGGCCCGCCCCAGTGGATCAAAGGCACGTAGCCCTCAGTGCTCTGTGGGGAGGCTTCTTCCACCGCCCACCCCCCAAGGGCCCAGGAGGTACAGAACAGCAGCCGAGGCAGCCGCTGTGGAGGCCTGGGTCGGGGCAGTCACCTTGCAGTGGCACTCTCCGCTTGTCTTGTTGCAGTCTGGATCGAAGCCTTTGCTGACATCGCAGTTGCACGGGCCGCAGGTGGGGTGTCCCCACCAGCCTCGGGGACAAGGTTGGTCAATCCTGCGGAGAAGGGACCAGGGAGGAATGAGTTCCTTCAGCCACCCTGGAGCCATGTATGGCCCTTCTGACCCCAGCCACGGCCCAGCCAGGCTCCCAGGGCTCTGAGGGACACAGTGGACATCAGCAGTGGCCTGCTGCTGCCTGCAGGGATCCACATTACCTGGTCTCACAGTATGGCCCAAGGTAACTGGGGGGACACTCGCAGGTATAGCCATGGGGAGCACTGGGCTTTCGGGTACACATGGACTGATGCTCGCATGGGTTCAGGTCACACACGTTAGTGCAGTTGTCACCATAGTAACCTGGGACCAACCAGAAGGACAAGAGAGGCTCAGTCCCCACCTTACCCTGGCATTTTCTTCAAACCTGCCTTCATTCACCTCCTTCTATTCTGGGCAGCTATACCAGCTGGCTGTGGCTCTGCAGTGCATGATGAGAGGCTCAGGGGGTGAGGTGACTAGCCCCAGGTCACATGGCAAAGCCAGAGTGAGCCCCCGCCCCTGCCCCATGCCTGCTGACCTGTCCCATTTCCCTGGACCCCTGGCCTACCCGGATCACAGCTGCAGGAATAGCTGTCCCAGTCGTCACTGCAGTAGCTGTTGGCAGGACACGGGTTCGAGTCACAGGGGTCTGGCAGGCTGCAGCCTGGCTCCACATTGATGCTCTCCCCACGGCTGGGATCCAGACTGCTGACGCCCTCCGGCGTCTCGCTGACCCGGACACCCTGGGAGGGAGAGGGTAGTGGTTGCTGGCCCTTTGTGGAATCGGCTTCCCAGTGTTGGAGGTGAGAAGGCAGCGCAGGAGGCTTACCTGCAAACAGCCCCGGAAGCCTCGGGCCACACCACTGGCCGGCCCTGGAACACCCCCGACGGTAATGTTGCTCAGGTGTAGCCCATGCAGCCGGGGGCCCAGGTTGCCCTCTGCCCGCTGCTGCCCATAGTCGAAGGACAGGATGGCATGACCAGGGCCTCCACTGGCTCCCAGTGCCAGCTGTGCATGATGCCAGTCGCCATCATTAGCCCGGCCTGGCTCCAGCTGGAGAGACGAGGCCTGGAGCCCTGTGCCCTCCACGCTCAGCACCACGTGGCCCTCCCGAAGCTGGCACCAGAAGAAAAGAGGGTCAGCAGTCTGCCTCGATCAGCTCATCTTCCAGCCCACTGTCCTTCCCGAGCCACCAAACCCATCCTGCTGCCCAGCTGAGGCCAGGGAGGAAAAAGCATTATTTCCTGTGGGCCCGAGAGATGGCAGCAGTGATCCACCAAAGGAACCGAGCTGCCTTTTCTCTCCCGGGAAAGACCCCGCCCAGCCAGCTCTGACCAATAACCCGTGCCAGGGCCCGCCTGCCCCATCCCATCACCTGAAGAGTAATGGTGCTGCGCCCCCTGGTGACAGCCTGGAGCAGGACGCCGTCGGCCTGGCGTGTGCGGAACATGAGGCTGAGGTGCCAGGGCTGCGAGATGGGCAGTGAAAGCCCATGCCAGGCCAGCAGGCTGCTGCCCAGGAAGCGCTGCGGGTTGGCCATCTCTGGGAAGGCAGACAGAAGCAGACTCTGAGGGGCGGAGTGGCCAAGTGCCCCAGGGGGTATGATGTTCAGCGGGGGGTAGCTCCATGGGAGGCAGGGTACTGCCCCTCCTAGTGCCCAGGCTCCCCAGCTGCCCCGCCCTCCAGAGCATCTACCTGCTCCGGGTCCACCCCACTCTGTGCCCAGGCCTGCCTCTGACTGGGCCCTTTGTCTCCCGTGCTAACCCTCTCAGGGCGCTGCCCAGACACGCTTTTCCACCCACAGCCAAGCTCAGCTGGGCCCTGCCCAGGGCCCGGCCCGACCCTGCTGGGGTTCCCAGCCCTGCTGACATCTCCCAGGCCCCAACCTCTGACAGCTGCCCCCATACCTACCCTGGGCACAGCTCTTGCCCCCGAAGCCTAGCGGGCACTCGCAGCTGAACGCATCCCACTGGTTCACACAGGTGCCCCCGTTGTGGCACGTGTTGCTGTCACACACGTTCTTCTTGGCAGGGCACCCTAGAATGGAGAGATGGGTGCTCAGGCAGAGGCTCCCAACAGAAAACCTGTCGTGGTGGCTAGAGGGGACTCTGAGCCACCATTTCCAGGGGCCCCCACGCCAGGCACGTCCCTCCTCTCTGCATTCAGCCTGACCCCGGCTCCCATACCAGGCATGGTGCCGTTGTTGGCGATGAAGTCGGCCATGTCGACGTGGCGGCTGTCCACCTGCAGGTCCCTCATGCAGCCCACGAAGTGCCGGGTGCGGACGGGGAAGCTCTCGGGCAGATCAGGCACCCCGCCCAGCAGCAGGGGCCCTGTCAGGTCCAGAGACCTGGCGGGGGTGGTGAGGGGCAGGGAGACGGCCAAGACGTAAGGGCGAGTGGGTGCTTCCAGCTCTTCCTTCTCCTTGAGCCTGGCCGCCAAGCGAGGGGTCCTAGGGGCCCTGCCGAGCAGCCAGGGGAAGGGGAGCCCCACCCTGGAGCTACTCTCATCAGACTGTTGCCCAAGGCTAGCTGGAATCCCCCAGCCTTGCCGGCTCTGCCCCCCACCCAGGCCCCCCGCGCAGAGGGCTGAGCAGGGGCAAAGGGAAGCCAGGTGAGAGAAAGGAACTGGTTCCCGTTTCAGGGCCCCCAAAGTCCCCCTTATAACCCTCCCTCCCTCTGTGGCCCCACACCTCGCTGCACCCCCAGCCCTCTCCCCTCCTTACTTCTTGCTGCCACCCTGAGTGCCCTGGGCGGCGCAGGAGTAGTTGCCCAGCATAGCTCCAAAGCGCAGGGCTACCCCTGTGTCACAGCCATCCACGGTCACCACAGCCACCTTCTGCTCGGACGGGCCCTGCGAGAGCCCCGTCTGACCCAAGAGTGGCTGTGGACAGGGACGGGCAGAGAGGGGAAAGAGTGGGCCAGGGCCACTCACGGGCCAGCAGGCAGGAAAACACCAGCACGCACACACGCCCTTTGTGTACTGTTACACACGCACACAGATGTGTGCTCACATGACCATTTACCTTCCTCAACGTCCACTTGTGTCTGTACCCAGCGGAAGAGGAAGTGTCTGCACCACCCAGCAGGATGGGAATGCCCAGCGAGACAGCAGGTTCCACCCCTCCTTCCTCCCCGTTCAGCCCCACGTCCCACGACCAGCCCCCAGCAAGGCAGCGCCCCCAGGTCTGGGAGGGCATCTGCACCCAGGCCAGAGTGCTCTCCCCGCGGGAGCCCCCCATACCCACCTTATTGTAATACTTCAGCTGCACCCTGTGCCACTGGCCGTCACTGACCCCTCCAGGCACGAACGGGGACACGGTGGTGGTCGACTCCCCTGGGGAAAGGACCCAGGTGAGCTGGGACACCAGGGGAGGGCTGGGAATGGGGACAGGGCACTCTCGGTTGAGCTGTGCCCCGGTTTGGCTGGGAGAGTGTGTGACTCGGGGGCAAGGGCGGAGAGACACAGGGACTCAGGGAGATGGGGGAGGACGTGGGGCCGCGGGATCACCTGCAGAGAAGGTGAGCTGGACCTGCTCCTGGATCACCTCGAGGGCCACGAAGTCATGCTTCTCATTGAAGCGCCCGTTGTAGAGCAGCAGCCCGTCACGCTCCTTGGTGGCAAACCTGAGTGGGAGTGGGGGAGGGGGCAGGGAATGGGGCACCCACCTGGATGCCAGCACCCCAGCCACCTAACCAGCCCTGGTCCTACTCAGAAATCTCCCGAGGGCGGACTCCTGGGCGGAGGCTGTGGGCCACGTGGCTAGAGCATGGAGGGTGAGCACAAACCAGGACTGGTGGCATGACCGTGGCATCCTGGCTCCCACCTTTGAGGGTGGGTTGGGAGGAGTGTAGGTGGCCCTGGTGGGTGAGGGGCCTGCCAGCCAAGGGTACAGGGCAACTCCAAGTACAAGCCTGGCTCTGCCAACAACTCCCCCCCCACCCCTCTGCCACACAGCATCACTGTCTAACTTCCCACCTCGTCCACAAAACGGGAGGCCCCCCAGGCTGTTCCTGGCCCCTATTCCAAGTGCCCAGGCACTCACGAGAGGGCCAGGGTGAAGTGGAAGCGCTGGCGCAGTCCCCGGAAGGTGATGAAGGAGCGGGCAGGGAAGCTGCGCGTGGTCACCTGGCAGAAGGGCTTCTCGAAGTCTCCGGATGGGCAGTCGCACTTGAAGCCGCCCACCAGCAGGTTGACACAGGTGCCTCCGTTCTTGCAGACGCCTGGGGTGCAGCGGCCTGAGCGGGCACTCACTTCGCAGTGCTCACCTGGACAAGAAGTCAGGCAGGTGAGCACCAGGTGCCTGGGAAACTGGGACTCTTTCACGCCCAGTGATCCCTCTGTGGTCTCCCGTGACTCCTATGATACTCCGAATCCCCCCAGCATCCCCTCTCCTCTCATGTGCTCATCCGTCTGAGCTCTGTGAAACCCTGGCTCCTATGATACCCTGCTTGGAGCACTGGGCCAGCCTCACCACAGTCCCATATACCGCTGTCCTGCAAGTTCCGGAGGCTCCCAGTCCGTCTCATGCCCCTGTTTGGGACTTAAGAGCACAGGCCTGTGAGGTCCCTGATCACAAGGTCCAAGTCCTAGTGGCTTTTGGTGTAAGGGCTACCCAGCAAGCATGGGGGTGTTCTAGCCCCATCAGGGGGCATGCCTGTCGATGAGAGGGCCTGCAAGACAGTACAAGGGCTGGTGCCAACCCCCGCCCCACACTGGTGCTTTTGTCCCTCACAGGCACCAAGATCAGCTTCCCTCCCTGGGGACGAGACCAGGCTTCCACTTGGATTTGTCGGAGTTATGGGATGGTGTGGGCGGGAAGCTGGGAACTCTCCAGAAACGGGGCAAGGAACTCCCACCCTGAGCCCTGGTGTTCAGACTGAGGACCTCTGTGAACTTAAGAGTTGCTGCGATAGTAGGGAACTGAGCCCTGGGAGCAGACCAGGATTCAACGGAGGAGCTGAAAATTCCAACATCAGATGGAAAAATCCACCCTTTTCTCTCCCTCCCCATTCCCAGATTCTAGAGATAGGTTTTCAGCTCCAGTGCCTAGTGACTAGCTCTAGTTTCCATGGAAACTGTTGTTCGCCTACTCTAAGCACGCCCTACCCCATCCTCTTGGACAAAGACTTCCCTCCCCTCCCCCAAGCCCACCCCTCTGCTTCCCCCGACCCACAGCAGCAGCTGAGAGGAGTCAAGTCTGGCAAGTTCTGGGCGGAAGATGCAGCAGGGGAGGCAGCGAGGCTGGCCTACCACGGCTGGCTGGCGAAGCGGGTGGGCATGGCTCTGGGGGAGAGGGAGCAAGGCCTAAGGCCCCTGGGAAGGAAAGGCATGGAGAGCAGGGGATGTCTTGAGGGAAAGCAGGAGCTTGCAGGGAGGGGTCCGGAGCACGAAGCAGAGGCAGTGAGACCCCAGGGAGAGTCTGGGGACAGGATGTGTAAAGAACCCTGGAAACAGGCCAACAGGCCTCTTGGTCAGGCCCTGCTTAACATGCCTGGGCAAGGGTGGAGCTCCACGTCACACAGGTGCAATGATCTGAAAATCCCTATCCCCACACCTGAACCCCACCAGTTTCTCCAGCTCTTCTGTGCCTCAATACCTAGGGAGAAAAGGCCCTGCTACGGCTCTGAAAGGTAACTCACTCATCAGTTGGGAGAATGCATGTACTAGGCCCAGCCTCACCTCTAATCCAGGTGAGACCTGAGGCAAGTCACCTGATCTCACTCAGTATTTCCTTAAATCACAGCCAGCACTTCCCACAGGCCAGCTCTCTTACCCGTATTAAATTCAATTAATCCTCACAACCTCCTTGTCATGGGAGGAGATTCATCACCCATTTAAAAATTCTACCGCACAGAGAGGTTAAGTAACTCGCCCAAGGTCACCCAGCCGCTCTTGTCAAAGCTGGGATACAAATGCAAGCAGGCTGGCCCCAGTGCCAGCGCTGACCTCAGTTACACCATCTGGGGGTGGGGGCGGGCTGGAGACAGAGAAACAAGGCTCCCCTCTTCCTTCCTCAACAGGTGATTGTGAGAGCAAGTGGGACTTGTGAATGCCCAGTGTACCCTGTACATGCCCTCTGGAGAAGAAGGAGGTTACCCGGTTCTTAGCTTGATTGTGCTGGCGCTGCAGCCTGAACTCCCCCAGGGCCGCCCCCAGGCCTTCCCCTCCCTCCGCGAGGGCTCACCGGTGTAGCCCTCACGGCAAAGGCAGGTGTAGCCGCCCTCGCGGCTGCGGCAGCGTCCGTGGGGGCCGCAGGGCCGTGAGTAGCAGAGGTCCACCTCGGTCTCGCAGTAGTCCCCGGTGAAGCCAGGCGGGCAGCGGCAGCGCAGTCCCCCCACCGGGTGGATGGGCCGGAAGAGCACGGAGGAGGAGGCGATGAAGGGCGCGGAGGAGTCAAAGCGCAGCACGGAGACGCAGCGCATGTAGTTCTCGCAGGGCTCACGCAGGCAGATGTTGTCGTCGAAGGGCAGCACGCGCTGTGCCGAGATGGCCGTGAGCAGGCTGCGGTTGAGATACAGGCGCTCCTGCAGGTCCTCGGAGGGCAAGAAGGGTGGCCCGCCCCCGGGCCCCGGCGGCTGGCCCACCGACAGGCTCACGTTGAGGATGTGGCTGCCGGGGGCATCGGTGTCCCTCTGCACGTTGAAGATCACCACGTGGTCTGGGGGTGTGGCCAGCGTGGCGGCCACAGCCTGGATGAAGAGACCCAGGAGGGGCGACAGGAAGCGCTCGGGCGACATGTCTTCCAGGCGCAGCGTGATGCTGTGCGTGAGCATCTCGTCCGTGATGATGGTGACGCGCAGGGAGCACTGGGCCGTCACGCTGTGCACGCCGTCTGTGGGGAGGCCAGACGGTCAGCACCCAGGGCGGGCAGGGGTCCCAAGTCACGGAGGAGGGCATGACTAGGCTGGAACCCTGCTCGCACACTCCCGAACTGCCCAGTTGCCAAGAAAGGCTCTTCTTTCCTAACTGGCATACAGGAGCCCTTAGGACAATGTGTCCCTCACCTGAGGGAGAGTCACCCCAGGAGGGCTCAGCCCCCAGCAGCACTCAGGGGGGATTGATTTCCACAAGTTCTCTTTGCATACTTTCCAGAAACCCTCTGTTGCAAAGCATGTGTGTGTGTTAATTGCTGGGTCCTGTCAACTCTTTGCAACCCCACAGACTGTAGCCCACCAGGCTTCCCTGTCCCTGAGATTTTCCTAGGCAAGAATACTGGAGTGGGTTGCCATTCTCTTCTCCAGGGGATCTTTCCCACCCAGGATCAAACCCAGGTCTACTGCATTGCAGGTGGATTCTTGATGTTCTGAGCCACCAGGGAAGCCCGTTGGGAAGCATGGACACGTCTTTCAATGTTTGTGCATCTTTCCCTGTCCCAAGCCACAGACGGGTCTGCTCCAGACCAGGTGCTTCCCTGCATGAGAATCTTATTTTGCCTTTTTCTTGCCTCCCTAGAGGGCCCAGAGACCATGAGAGACCCACAAATATAATCCTCCTGCCCCCTCAGCCTCTATATCTCAACACTACTACAACCCTGACCCTGGCTGTGTTCCCCCTCCCCAACTGTAGTAGAGAATGGAGGGTGAACTGGGTCAGTGGGCCACCCAGTCCCCCTCCCACTAAGCCCCGTGGCTGCTTGGGCGCAGGCCTGCTATCCCCATGGCAACGCCCCACACAAAGCATTCTTCCCGCCCAACTCTCTGAGTTGCTGAGGGTAGCCTGGAGGGCCCTACCCCAGGAAATCCAGCTGAGCCACCTTACCAGTGGCAGCACCACCCACTGCCCTGATGCTGTGGGGTTCTGGGGGCCAGAGATGGAAGGGCCTGGGCAGCTCTCCACCCTGAGCCCCAGACAGAGCCCCACTGAGCTGACCTCTCCTTCGGGCCTAGACCTCCAGCTACTCATCACCCACTTGGCTCATGGCATTAAACTCAGTGCCTGCCACACCCCCGGGCCACACACTCACTTATAAACAGCGAAGTACTAACACTCTGGTGTCTCACCCCACCCACACACACTAAGCCCAGAAATACCAGGCACACCTGAATGCACAAATACATGGCAATGGATTTTATTCAGCTCAAAAGGAAAGCTGGAGGCCAAGTGGCGAGGGAAATGGCTTGGTTGGGCTATAAGCGATATTCTTATTATTTACTACAATGTTCAACGCATAGTAAGTGTTCAGTCAGATGTTCATGAGAATCTATTTGATCTCCATAATGAAGAAATGGTCTTTAAAACACAGCAGGGAGGCCCAAGTAGTTATTTAAAAGGACATCCTAGCAGGAATGGGGCGGGAGTCTGTTTCTCAGGTAGGACAGAGCTAGCACAGGACTTCCAAAGTGGCTCAGTTGGTAAAGAATCCACCTGTAATGCACAAAATGTGTGTTTGATCCCTGGGTTGGGAAGGTCCTGTGGAGAAGAGCATGCCAACCCACTCCAGTATTCTTGCCTGGAGAATCCCATGGACAGAGGAGCCTGGCAGGCTACAATCCATAGGACTGCAAAGATTTGGACACGATTAGCGACTAAGCACGCACGCGCACACTCACGGGTGTAGGAAAGGGATCTGGGAATAGATTCTTCTGCTTCTATGTCATAGCACCTTGAGGTGGCTGAATGCGCCGGCGGCTAGGAAGGCTGAAGCCAGACACCCATCTCAGCCGTGTCCTCGGCCCCCTGCCCACCTGCCCTCCAGCCTCACTGCTTGAGAATGTGAGGCCCGCCTGCTCTCACCAGCAAGCCTGTTGTCATCACTCACCTCTGCTCCTCCTTTTCTTGACTGCTGCTGAACAAGCTGTTCCTTCCTACCTGGACTATCCAGACACCAGCCCACACTCCTCCTAGTTTTTTCTAGCCCTCCCTAAACTCACCTTTTCCAGGGAGCCTGCCCAGATTTATGACCTCAGGCTCTACTTTCCTCCCTCTTTCACAGCCCCCTACACTCAGTTGTGGAGCCAGCCCAGGGCCCTCGTGTACCGGGTGCCCAGTGATTCCTTGGTGTGAGAGCCCCTCTGGGCAGGAAGGAGCCCAGAGTCCACACAGAGTCCTCATAACTGACCAGACAGGGGCAGGGCAGGCAAGAGAAACCTCTCCACCATCAGCCCTGGGAACGCACACTCCTCCCTGTGTTGCCCCTCTGCCGGCCCCGGCCCCGCCTGCGCCCCTCACCCCGTGTGTCTGTTGCTTCCCATCTGGCCCACCATCTGTGGCCACCTGCCCGCTCTGCTATCGTCCCCACCCCAGCAGTCAATGGGCCGTTCCCTCCTTCCTCTTTGTTCCTTTCTCCTGCCTTGACCTGGGTCACCCTTCAGGTGCAAAGGCAATGATGGGAACCAGGGTGAGGGGTGCATAGCTTGAGTCATCCTCCTGGGCACAAGAGGGTGGGGATGGGCCCTGACCCCAGGAAACACCCTCTGTGATGAGAACCTCGCCTGCCACACCTGGAAAATTGCCAAGTCCCAGACTGGGGCAGAATTGGACGCCAAGCCTCCCTTCCCCTGGCAGATGCACAAGTGGGAGTTGTAAGCCTGGAGGGGTCTGAGGAATGACCAGGCCATGGACGGGCACTCCTGTGTGTCCAAGCAGAGTTCGGAAGAGGCAGAGTTGGGAGAATTCGGGCCTCAGGAGAGCCACCTGGCCCATGCTGGGCCAGCTGAAGTCCCAGGGAACAAGAGAGGGGGAAATCAGAGAGGCAAAAACACAGAGACCAAAGAGGGGAAGACAAAGACCCAGGAAAAGAGCCAGCAGTGGAGAAAGTGGGAAAGGAGGAGAGAGTCACACAGGAGATGGGGAGAGGACCATGGAGGAGACAGTGCAGAAGGGCCCCCAAGGGCAGACGCGGGAAAGAAAGAGACAAAGAACAAGAGAGGGAAAACAAAGGGCAGTAGGAGTTGATCCCCCTCACCCCAGCCTCCCCGAACTTTGGGGTTGCCGTGGTGACTGCCTCCAAGGGTCAGGGCCGAGGGGAAAGGGTGGGGCTGGGCTGGAGGGCCAGCCGAGGCCTCCCCCTCTATTCTAAGGGAGTCTGGGGCTCTGCATGGGTAGGAGTGCGAAGGCTGGGTGGGGCCTCCTCTGCCCACATCCCTTGGGCACCTAGGGTGGACTGGGGGAGGCAAGAGGAAGAGGCCCTCCCCCTCCAGCCCTCCCACTGCTTCCCAGCACAGAGAAGGACACAAGATAGCAGAGCTCCAGCCCCCACCTTCTACCCCTAGAGAGGAACTGAAGCTTCCAGAGGCACGGAGCCTGTCCATGACCTCTAAAAGCTCTCGTGTCCTGGTTCCAGTGGCCACCTGAGGATTGGGGAGGGGAGTTACCTGTCCCAAAAGGACTATGAATGGGGAGGGGGCTGAAGCCACGCCCCATGTCTTGCACACCTCACTCCTCTCCTGGCCTGGACTCCTTGGGGTGGAAGTGAGGCTCGCCAGCCGGCTCTTTCTCCCCTCTGATGTGTCCGAGTGAGGGTACCCTGACCCACCCATGCCCAGGCCCAGCTAACAGTCCTTACAAGGGTCCCAGCTGTTCCCAGGCTCAGGGAAGGGGCTTGGCAATCTGGGGCCGGCGCCCTCCTTGCTGCCGCTGTTGTCCACTCCCTGCTCCCAACAGAAGAGACAGAATGTCACCCACCCCCCCGACTCTCCTCCCCCAGCCCTTCTGTCCAGGAGTCTGCAGGCTGAGCGCTTGGCCAAGCAGCTGGAATGCCCGGCCTGGGTCCCGGCCAGGCTCCCACGCCCCAGGATTCTGTTCTCTTGCCACTGGATCCGGGGGCTCTGCCCTCAGAGGCCACTAGTGCCCTGGCTCATCGTGGTCCCCACAGCCTATCCCCTGAGCCCAGGCTCTCACGGGCTGTGGGAAGGCCTGGCATCTAAGAACAGCCAAGCTGCAGGGAGACAGAGGCCCCAGGAGGGCCGTGGCCTGCCCCTGGCTCTGCCGCAGCCCCTCCCCCAAGCCGGACCCCGAACCACCACCTCTGACAGTGGGGTCTGTTTGGACAGAGACAATGAGCTCCGGCCTCACTTCCTGTGGGAGCTCTGAAGGGGGTAGCCAGGCCAGGCTCTTTCTGCCTGGAGCGAAAAGAATGTCCTAGACAAAGTCCCCCTCAGCTGGTCTGTGGCTCAGCCGGGAGCCAGAAGGGGCCCGACCGCAGGGTCCTGACCCCGTGGGGGCAACCCTGTGCCCCCACAGCCTCGGCTCTGTCAGAGGCTGTGTGAGATCACAAGGACGTGCCGGCGGGCAGGCGGCAGGCGGGCGTGAAGGGGTGACTTGCTGCTCCAGGCCACAGTCCCCTTCATCCCTCCCCAGCTCTCTTGGACCGCAGAGCCTTTTTCCACAATTCTCAGCAGCCATGGAGAAGACCGCCTCACGACACTTCCCCCACCACGTCACAGGCTGGTAGGCAAGGGGCAGCCGACCGAAGCAGCCTGGCCCAGCCTGGGGCGACAGGCAGGGCCCACACAGCTGCCAGGGTTCCTCGGGCTCTGTCCCCAGCTGCTGTGCACCCCTCAACCGCTGGGCCAGTCCCAGGTAGAGAGATGGGTCAGCAGTTCCTCCTCAGAAGGCCGCCCAGGCCCTCCCCCAAGGGCCAACTCCACCGCAGTGTCTCCTGGGCCCTTCCTTACCTGACACCAGCACGCTCATGACAGCCTCCAGAGGTCGGTTGTTGTCCAGCGCCCGACTCAGCCTCAGCTCACCCGTGGATGCGTTGAGGAGGACCAGGCTGAGTTCATTCCCCCGCTCGAAGCTGTAAGTCAGGCTGTCTGAGATGTCAGGGTCGTGGGCAGGCACTCGGCCAATGGCACCCCCTGGGAAGCTGCTTGATCGGTTGGTGACATAGTTGTTGAAAAGGATCTCGAAGTTGCCCAGCACTGGTGGGTTGTCGTTGCGGTCGAGCAGGCGGACGTGCACTGTAGCTCGGCTCACCAGAGGAGCCGACGTGGCCTGGATGACCAGGACATATTCAGGCCGGTCCTCGTAGTCTAAGTCCACCAGAGCGGTCAGCTCTCCGGAGAAGATGTCCAGTTGGAAGACCTCAGGGATGTTGCCCTCCACGATCTGGTACATGATCTGGGCATTGGTGCCTTCATCAGGGTCAGTGGCTGTGACCCGGGCCACCGCCAGCCCAATGGGGCTGTTCTCTTCCACAAACACATCAAACTCATCCTGCTCAAAAACAGGTGGGTTGTCATTTACATCCAACACTGTGACTGTCACGTCCATAGGCGTGCGGGCTGGAGGCATCCCCTTGTCCACTGCGTATGCCCGCAAGACGTACTGGGCCACATTCTCACGATCCAGCCTCCGCAGTGTTCGCACGATGCCTGATGTGGACTCTACGATAAAGTCCCCGTCTCCATCATCGCCCCCTTGGAAGGTGTAGAAGACCCTGCCGTTAAGACCAGAGTCACGATCAGTGGCTGAGATCTGCAGGACGCTGGTGAAGGGGGGCACGTCCTCGTAGACACTGCCCTGGTAGGAGTCCCGCAGAAACTGAGGGGCATTGTCATTCACGTCATTCACCAGGATCTCTAGGTAGGTGGTGTCGGACTTCTGGGGAATGCCATTGTCCCGGGCAGTGATGGCCAGGGTGTAGGACACCTGGTCCTCATAGTCCAGCTCAGCCTGGGTGGTGACGGCCCCTGTGTCCGCATCGATGCGGAACTGGGGGATGCTGTCCTCCATGAAGTAGGTGATGCGGGCATTCTCACCCGTGTCCTCATCTGTGGCACTGATGAGCACCACTGTGGTGCCTGCTGGCCGGTCCTCGTTAATATTCACCGTGTAGTGGGAGCTCTGAAAGACAGGGCGGTGGGTATTGGCGTCAGTGACGTTCACCACCACCTGTGCCGTGTCCTGCCTCGTGCCGTCAGAGGCAGTAACAGCCAGCACATACTGCCGCTCAAGTTTGTAGTCCAGTGGCAGGGCGAGGGACACCAGCCCGCCACCGCTCTGACTGGTGATGGAGAAGCGGTTTCGGGTGTTGCCGCTGGTGATCTGGTAAGTGATGACGCTGTGGGCATCTCGGTCCACAGCTGACACCGTCACCACGCTGGTGCCCACAGCTGCATCCTCATTGAGCCGCACCGTGTACTCTGGTTGGGTGAAGGTTGGGTTGTTGTCGTTGACATCCAGGATGGTCACACTGACACTGGCGGAGGCAGTGAGTGCTGGGGTACCATGGTCGCGGGCTTCTACTCCAAAGCTGTAGAAATCAACTTCTTCCCGGTCCAGCTCAGCTGCCACAGAGATCCAGCCTGTGCCATTGTTGATGGTGAAGGGAAAGTCGTGTCCAACCCCTGCAAGACGGTATTCCAGGCGGGCATTGTCACCCGCATCAGCATCAATGGCCTGGACATGGAGGACCAGGTAGCCTAAGGGGACACTCTCCAGAACAGTAGCCTGGAAGGGGGTGCTGACGAAGATGGGAGCATTGTCATTGATATCCAAGACCTGCACTGTCACCAAGCCGGAGACGTTGGAGAGAGGGGGGCGGCCACCGTCCTGTGCCCTAACCCGTAGAGTGTATTCCTTGGTTGTCTCATAGTCAAGAGGGCTCACCACGTCCAGAGCCCCAGTCTGGGCATCTAAGTAAAACTGTCCCCGAGCGTTGCCACTCATGATGCTGTAGTGCACCAGAGCATTGCTGCCCTTGTCTCTATCCGAGGCTGTGACCCGGAGGACCGGGGCTCCTGGGGTCACATCCTCCCGCACCTGGACCACATAGCGCTTCTCACTAAACTGGGGGGCATTGTCATTATCATCCTCCACCGACAGGAAAACGGCAGCTGTGGCAGTCCGTGGACCGGGGTCCCGACCCTGGTCACTCGCTTCCACCGTCAATTGGTAGGATTCCACCTTTTCCCGATCCACAGGGCCTCGGGTACGGATGACCCCAGAGCGAGGGTCAATCTCAAAGACTTCAGAGGGGCTGCCCCCAGACCCCTCCAGCAGGCGGTAGAGAATATTGGCATTGGGAGGGGCGTCACCATCTGTGGCTCTGACTGTAAGCACTTCATAGCCGACTTCCAGGTTTTCCCTGAGGCTCTCCTTGTACTCCTGCTGCTCAAACACAGGGTCGTGATCATTGGTGTCGGTCACCAAGATGGTGAGCGTGGCCAGGGCACTGCGTCGGGGCATGCCATGGTCCTGCGCCGTGACCCTGAAGACGTGTGTGCTCTTGGTCTCACGATCCAGCTCCTCGGCTGTGGTGACTGCGCCAGTGATCGGGTCCAGGGAGAAGAAGTGGTTGGAGCGGCTATCGAAGAGGGCATCCATAGTGTACTCCAGTCGACCTGCCTCGCCCTCATCTGGATCGATGGCCCGCAGAGATGCCACAGGAGTACCTGCGGGTTGGTTCTCGGGCACTGTGGCCTGGTAGCTGGGGGGCTGAAACTGGGGGGCCGTATTCACGTTCCTCTTCCGACGCCCACCCATGGACTCTTCGGCTAAGCTGTCCCCTGCCCTGAAACCTGGGGCCTGCACTAGCTTACAGGACAGGCATCTCAGCCGTGGGGCCTTTAAGCACAGGTGCTCATGGGGCAGGGTGAGTTTGCCCTGTGGGGAAAGGTGGCCTCCTATGCCCAGAAGACGACAGCTCCAGGGGCAGCCTTCGGGCGCTGGTGGCAGGGGGATGTGCGCCCCGGATTCTGGACACCAGACCCTCAGACCATCATGGTGAGGCACCAGGTGGCCAGTCAGTTCCGTCCCCGCATCCCTGCAGCGGCTGGTGTAGAGCCAGAGGTTCGAGGATGAAGCTGGACAGAGCCAGCCCACGGGAGCGCAGGCCCCCGAGGAGCCGCGTCCGCCGGGCCCCAGGGAGCGACAGGGCCCCACTTGGTCTCCCAGTAGTGGCGGCAGCAGCAGCAGTAGCAGCAGCGGCGGCAGCGGTGTTGGAAGTGGGGCGCGGGCCGCCGGGCTCCGCATCTCTCCCTCTTCCCGGCCGGCCGGGTCAACGGCGGCCGCGGCACCTCCTCCCGCTCTTGCGGACCCCGCCGCGCCTCATGCCCAGGCCAGGGCGCCAGTCCCCGGGGGCTACTTTTGCGCCCCGCGGGGCCTGCTCCTAGATGCCTCACCGGAGCCCGGCGTTGCCCGCTCCCACGCGCCCGGGATCCCACCGATCCCTAACCCGGGCCCACGCCCGGGTCACCCAGACCACCACGGGCTGGCGCCGCGCTTCCACTAGCACACCCGGCTCTCGCCACCTGCGCCCGCGGCGCCCGCGGGGCCCGCGCGCCCTTGGCCCTGCCGCCCCGAGATCCTCAGAGTGCCCCTCGCCCCCGCGGGATAGCCCACCTGCTCCTACTGAGCTGCGCACCCGGACCCCGGCCCGGCCCCGGGCGCCTCCGACGGCCCCGCGCCGGCCGCTTGTGCCCCGCGTCCCCGCCGCCGCTGCTGCTATCGCCGCGGCCCCGGGCCCAGCCCCACGTTCCCTCGCCTCCCCGGCGGGCGGGCGAGCTCTGCAGAGCGGCCGCGGCGGCGGCGCCTCATTACCATAGACCTGCTCGCGCCGCCACCGCCTTAAAGTGGCGACGCCAGCCGCACCGAAGGAGGTGGGCCCCACCTGGCGCCCTCCTCCGTACCAGTGATGTAGAATTCGCGCTTTACTGACCTTCTTCCCCATCCCAATCCCACACCAGGCCTGCCCCGGGCCAGATTCCTACAACAGTCTACAAAGGAATTAATAATCAGAAGCCAGACAGCAAATGATAATAATGGTGGCAAACACTAAGAATGTTTAGAGGTTTTCAAAACCTTTTGAAGAACTTTCAGAGGACAAGTGCCCACCCTGACGCACCCCCCCTCCAAAAGGCTGATAAGAGTCCTTGTTGCTTCCCCTCCACTGGTCTGGGTCAGACTGAGCTAAAATGGCCCTGCTGGATAGTATAAAGCCTCCCCCTTGTGCCAGAGAGACACCCCACGTCCCCAGGAACACTGAGCCCCCACCCCCGTACCCCTCAGCAAAGTTGTGGTCTAATCAGGCTGCCCCTTGGAGTCCAGCTGCAGAATGCAGTGCAGAATGACCCCAACCTCCACCTGGATGCCACCCGGGCTTGCCAGGGGGAGGTAAGCTGGAAATGTCAGAGCAAAAGCCAGTGGGTATAAACATGCTAATATTAGCAGGTTCTGAGCCCCAGAGAGGGTGAAACTTGTACAGGGTCACAAGGCTGGAGAGGGGTGGGACCAAGTTTTAATTCAAGTTTCCTGAGTCCTAGACCAGTGGTTTTCACTGCCCCATAGGGCCTCTTGTCCAGAGAGATGACCTCTTGCTCCCTCCCCACTTCCCCATCCACATCCAGCTGCCACTCCCCTCCTTCCACCCTCAGCTTTGTGACAGCAAACAATCCTGCCCAGGACACGGGACTCTGGCACCTCTCCACTCGCAGGCTTCAGACTGGACCTGCCACTTGAAGGGGCGTGAGAGATTCCAGGACTCCTGGGAGAGGGCCAGGCATGGAAGCTGGACCTTGAAGGAGAGCCAGGCATTGGGAGGTGGAGGGTGATCCAAAGGGACTTCCCTCTCACATACCCTGTCCAGAGGCCCAGGGCCAACTGTGGGAGCAGCGAGGGGCTGGGGCCAGAGGTATGAAGGCTGGCCTGGGGAGGAGGTCCAGCCTACCACCGTCTAGCTGTGTGGCTTTGGTCAAATACTTGTGCCAATTTCCTTTTGTAAAATGATGGGATAGAATAAGCTCAATAACTTCAAATTTTTATTTAAAGGTATAATCCCTTTTTCACTGAAATATAAAGTAGAAGCCCAGATGATAAGCCAGATAAAAGTAGTCCTGCTACTATTTACAATAGCTAGGACATGGAAACAACCTAGATGACAGACGAACGGATAAAGTTGTGGTACATATATAAAATGGAATGTTACTCAGCCATAAGAAGGAACACATTTGAGTCAGTTCTAGTGAAGTAGATGAACCTGCTGCTGCTGCTGCTAAGTCGCTTCAGTCGTGTCTGACTCTGTGCGAACGGCAGCCCACCAGGCTCCCCTATCCCTGGGATTCTCCAGGCAAGAACACTGGAGTGGGTTGCCATTTCCTTCTCCATAGATGAACCTAGAGCCTGTTATACAGAGTGAAGTAAGTCAGAAAAAGAAAAACAAATATCGTATATTAACACATATATATGGAATCTAGAAAGATGGTACTGATGAACCTTTTTGCAGGGCAAGAATAGAGACTCAGACATTAGAGAACAGACTTTTGGACACAGGGAGAGAAGGGGGGCGCTGAAAAACTGAGAAAGTAGCATAGACATATATCCCTACTATGTGTAAAATGGGTGAGCTAGCAGGAAACAGATGTATAGCGTGGAACTCAGCTTCATGCTCTGTGATGACCTAGGGGTGGAACGGCAGGGGTGGGAAGGAGGGTCAAGGTGGAGAGGATATGTACATACTTATAGCTGATTCACACGGTTGTACAGCAACAAAACATTGTAAAGCAATTATCCTCCAACTAAAAATAAATTTTAAAAATACTAATCTGAAAAAAAAATGTGCTGTGGGGTTGAAGTAGGAGTCAGGGTCTTGCCCATCTCCACTGGGGCCCCTGTGGAGCTTGAGGGTCTGGAGGAAGCCAGTTGAAAAGCACTGGGTCAGATGCTCACTCTTTTCCAACATGGCACTCTGCGCACACCAGCGTCACTCTCAGCACGTCACGGCAGGAGACCTGTGATGCGCCTCTCAGGGGCTCTAGGCCCAAAGAACCTCCGTGTGACCACCGGGTAATGCCAAGGATGAGAAATCAGCTTTCTTATTTCTCCCTGGGGAAAAGGAAAGACAATGAGCAAGAGGCATTCGGGTTAGCCTGCACTCCTGGCCATGGTGGTGGATGGGAGGAGGAGAAGGAAGTGGGCAGGGGAACCCCAGCTCAGGGAAGTGCCCTCTTCTCTGACAGAAGATGAACAAGTCCAACGAAGGCTCCAGACACAGAAGGTGGCTTAAGTGGCCTCTGCAGGGCTCCACCTCTCCAGGCTCCCTTTGACTCTGTGGTTTGGGAGGATCTAGGGGCTGCGTGGGCATCTTGCTCTTCACCTAATAGCCATGTGGCGCGGAGAATGCTCGGAAATTATACCATCTGTTAATTATCCCTTGAATTGGGGTTGGGTAATGAGACTCATTTCTGCTGAAGGCCCAAGCCAACACACGGAGAAACTGCAGCCCTCCATTCATCTCTCTCCCTTTGTACTAAAATAAGCTTGCTGGGTGGGAGAGCGTGGCAGCCTTGGCTGGGGAACTTGATTCTGGAGTCTAGAGCTGAGACAGCATGAGCTTGGGAAGCCCCCTTCGTTGCGAACGCCCTTTCTGCCCAAGGACAGACCGGGTGGGGGTGTGAGGAAACCCTTCCTTCATCTCCAGGAAAGTTTGGCAAATAGTCTCCCCACCCTGCTTCCAGGGACACAGGACAGAGCTGTCCCCCCAATCTACTCTTATCCCCTCAGCAGTGTCCCCCTCCCCAAAGCAGGAAGGAAACTTCAGTATCTTCTGGGCATCCTTGCTGTTGTGCTGAGTCACTCAAGTCTTCTTGCGACCCCATGGACTGCAGCCCACCAGGCTCTTCTGTCCATGGGATTCTCCGGAAAGAATACTGGAGTGGGTTAGCCATTTCCTCCCCCAGGAGATCATCCCAACCCAGGGATCGAACCCATGTCTCCTGCAGTGGCAAGCGGGTACTTTATCACTATGCCACCTGGGAGGCCTCATCTAAGCATTACAGAGTGTCAGACTAGGGCTTGTCCTGGTGGTGTCCTCCTTGACCCCTATTTCATAAAACTTTCCAGCTTAAGGAACCTTTAGATCTCCCTCCCACATGGGAGAAATTCAAAGTGCAGCAAGATCCTGGAGTCGGTTCAAAGGGAAATTACTGCTCATCCAGGCCAGACCTCAGGAGGGAAAGTGACCTGCAGGGAGAGCCTGGAAAATACACACGTGCATAAGACGTGGTTCTCAACTGAACAAGGTAGCAGGGGTGAAGTGGTCCAGGAGCAAACGAAACAGAAAAGGCTAAAGGGATTCAGAGGAGAGAGCAGGGAGGGTTGGAGAAATCTCAGACAGCCTCTTGGAGGAGGTAGGACTTGGTTGCCTCTTAAAGAATCAGGAATTGCATTCCTGGCTAGAGAAATTCATCAGCAAACTCCTTTAACCTACAGGTTAAGGGTCTTCTCTGAGGTGACACATCTAGTACACAGCAGACCTGGGACTGGAACCCAGGCAATATGGCTCCAGATTAAGCAGTATAAGCTATGAATGAAATGTGAGGGTCACCTTGGCGGAAGCCAAGATTGGGGTGGATGTGGGAATTGCCTGGTGGTCTTGTGGTTAGGATTCTGTGCTTTCACTACTGGGCTGATCCTACCCGCTAGCCACGCTGCATGGCCAAAAAATTTAATAAGATTGGGGTGGGTGTTGTGGCCCAGCATACTAGGGCAGACAGGGCCAGGTTGGGAAGAACCTGGTGACCTCTGTCACAGGCAGTTCCTCATGGGCTCAAATTCTGGGACCAATGGCCTGCTTGGGAGGAGGGGTGGGGCAGGAGGCTGCTGATGGCAGAGGTGGGTGGGCAGGGCAGTTGACAGGAGAGAGGTGGGGAGAAGCCCTGGGGGCTGCTCTATAAAGAGCATAGAAATGGGGAGGGGAGAGCCTGGCCTCAGGGAGCTCCAGACACTGCGGCTCGGGACTACGGGCCAGCAGCCTCCGGCGGGCTGGGACCTGCATGTTCTCTTGTCCTCACTTGCCCGTGTGCCCAGCTGGCTGCCCTGCACTTTTCCTCAAAACTAGAGGATGTGTGCCTTGAGGGTGGGCTCTTTATTTTTTTAAAGAGGAGAAGGAAAGAGTGGCTTTATTTCTTTGCCAGGCAAAGAGGGGACATGGTAGGCTAGCACCTCAAGAACTGTGCCCCCAAAGGTGGGCTATTTCT